TTTTAAAGATCTTTTAGTTCAAAATTTAGACAACCATTATCAATAAAATAAAATGCAATATTTTTGCTCCATTAGCATGAACATCTTCCTCCTAGCATGAACATCTTCCTTTCATATTCTGTTAAAACATATGTTTCCTTATTTTAAAGTTATGGCAAACTTCTTTATTTATGGCTGCCCAAAGATCATGTGCTTCTCTAGAGCTTGTGTTACAGAGACATCTGTATTACCATCATCTCACTAATATTGCACAAATATCCAGGGCTCACAGAGCAATTCTACAGATGCCAACTGCTTTCAGATACCAACCCTGAGACAGCATATAATGCTGCCAGGTTCTGCACAGCAGTGTTTAAAATCTGTCAGATGATGGAAACAAACATCTAGTAATGTGATGGATATAGTCTGCCACATACTAACTTTTATACTTCTCTAAACCCAACTAATTCTTCTAGATTCCTTTTAGACTCTTGTTTTACTATATACTTTCTGTTTTATCTGCTCTAACTTTTTAAAAAAATATTATTATTTTGGACTCTGATTTACCTTTTATGCTTTTTAATTGATTGTATCCCATCCTCCTTATGGTCTGTGATCATCATAAGGTTTTCATTTGATGGTTAAGCAGAAGTCTCTTTATTTATTTATTTTATTTATTGGTTCGATTTATATGCCGCCCTTCTCCGGAGTCTCAGGGCGGCTTACAATGCGTTAAACAATAGCCTTCATATTTTTGTATATACCTGCTTAGTAGGGCTTTCGCCCACCCACCCCCAAGCGGTGTTCTTTTTTTAATACAAAGTCAGTTTATTGCCCCCACAATCCGGGTCCTCATTTTACCTACCTCGGAAGGATGGAAGGCTGAGTCAACCTTGAGCCTAGTGAGATTTGAACTCACAGTAATTGCAGGCAGCTGGCAGCTAAGTGCTACTTAACAGCACTTTAGTCCACTGCGCCACCAAGGCTCCTAAGAGCCTTAAAGATCTTTGAGGGATCTTTGGTACTCTCTGAGCTTGCAGATGTTTCATTACCCTAAATAGGTAACATCATCAATGCTAGTAAGGAGTGCTGTTTGCTGTCAGTTCATATTCTGGTATCTTGCCTGTCAGTGTGGGTGGAGGCAGTCTTCAAGATTCTTTGGTTGGGCTGTTTACTAAGGGCTCTTTGGCAGTTTCTTGATTGTTGGTCTGAAGTTAATCTTGGAATTAATCTATCTGATCTGAGTGCTGATTACTGGTGGAGAGGTGCAAAAGAATTTTCATAAAAATTATTTAATTTCACAATATATAGACAGATTTAACCATAGTTTCAATTGGGAAAATGTGACAATCTTAGACCAGGCCAAATCCAAAAATGCCAAGGAATTTCTAGAAGCCTGGCACTCTGACAAATCAGCCATCAATAGACTCATAGATATTAACAATATCTATAGTCAATACAAAAAAGGCAATCAATTAGCCCCAAGAGAAAAAGACTCCAGCACCTCTCTGCCAATAATCAGATCAGCATAGATTAATTCTAAGGTTAACTTCAGATCAACACTTAAGTTAACAATATCCCAATCAAGAAACTGCCAAAGAGCCATCAGTAAACAGCCCAGTCAAAAAATGTCTAAGACCAATTCTACCCACACAGCAAGCAAGTCACCAGAATATAAACTGACAGCAAACTAGCACTGATGATGTCACGTCTGCAAGAAAAGAAGTAAGCTCAGAGAGCATTAAAGACCCCTCATTTCATCCCTGAGCTACATATAGTCTTCCTTATTTGTACATTTTGTATTTACCAGATTCATCCTTTTTGCATTTGGGCCTTCAGTATTTAATCCAACAGAAAATTAATGGATTTTTGAGGATTTATTTCAGTGGAAGTTTTATTTATACTTTTAATGTAATATTACAAACACCATATTAAAGAAAGTGATGAGATTTTGGCATAGTCAAGAAGCTGCTCAGTATTTTTTATGGGTAAGAGGAGTTTAGAGGCTGAATATCAGATTGCCTTCATTTGTTAGTCTCTTCATTTCTTCAGAATTAAAGATGATCCTAAAAATGTTCTTTGCCTAACAGTAGCAATGCTGACAATAACTATAAAGGCAGTGTTGAAATGAATTGAAACTAAATTAAGGATATTAGATTTGATTATCTCTGTAATCCTTCCTTCCTTCCTTCCTTCCTTCCTTCCTTCCTTCCTTCCCCACTCCCTCCCTCCCTCCTTCCCTCCCTCCCTTCCTCAGATTTTTGGTTTGTTTTGTTCCTCCATCTGTGTTGCTTGCTAATTTTTGCCAAACCCACAGACTGGCTATTTTCTTCTTTCCTAATTTCTTGGCCTATTTGATTCATTTATAATGCTGACTTTCATGCAAAAAAGAATGAAACTGAATATAAATTTTCTAAATGGGAGTATGTGGGCAGATTAAGAAAGTGCTTCATTGACCAGCAGGAAGTAAAGGTTTGCAGCTAATATTCTAGTGGTATTCATGAACAAGATGTGATAAACTAATGTCACAAAAGTATTATGAAGAAAGACTTCCTGTTTGATTTTTCCTTGCTTTATTTCCTACAGTGAAAAGTATGAAGGAAATGGTTTAACGGGATTAATCATATGCTATTAAATTCTGTGGTTCTATTTCCATCTAGGCTGGCAAAGATATTCAGAATGAAAAGGTTTATAGCAGGAATTTTTCGAAGAGGCATAACCTAGCAACAGGCATTCCATTAGGGCCGTGATGGCGAACCTGTGGCATACGTGCCAGAGCTGGCACGCAGCACCCACTCTGATTACATGCGAGCCATCGCTCCAGTTCAGCTCTGCTGCACATACATGCATGCCTCCCGCCAGCCAGATGGTCTTTGGGTCTCTGCTATGCATGTGCGGGTGGTGGGGTACATGCAGGACAGCTGTGTGCGCATGCAGAAGAAGGTGGGGCGCATGTGGGGGGCACACGCACGTGCAGGGGGACACATGTGGAGGATGTGCGCACATATGCGCAGGAAGGCAGGGTGCATGCAGGGGATGCACACGCATGCGTGGGGGCCGGCCACATGCACAGGGGCCACATGCACATTGCATCTTGGGGGTTCAGATGCACATGCATGCATTCGCACACACGCATACGTGCTATTAGCATTCGGTCCAGAAAAGGTTAGCCATCACTGCATTAGGGTCTCTTAAACAGAAAATCAGAAGAGCCATAGAGACATGCAATACCCTTCACTAAGAATCTAGAGGATACCTGCACCTGCTTAAAAGTGCAGTAGAAAAAGAGATCCGATCAAAGAGAATATTTGTAGCTCAGGGTTGTAGCAACATCCTTGATGCTTTCTGAGCTTGGTTGTTTTCTTGTAGATGTTTTATTACCCATACTAGGTAACATCATCAGTGCGAGTAAGGAATGGGGTTTGCTCTCAGTTTATTTTCTAGTGGCTTGCCCTATCAGGGTTGGTGGGGATGGTTTAGAGGTTCTTTGATTGGGCTGTTTATTGTTGGCTTGTTTGACAGTTCCTTTATTGGGGTATTGTTTACTTGATTATTGGTTTGATGTTAATCTTGAAGTTAATCAATGCTCATCTGGGTGCTGAATGGTGTTGGGAGATGCTTTGGTCTATTTGTTCTCTTTTTGGCTTGTTGATTATTTCCTTTGCATAATATATAAATATTGCATATGTCTATATGTCTATTGATGGCTAGTTTGTCAGGGTGCCAAGCTTCTAGAAATTCCGTAACATTTTTGGCCTTGGCTTGGTCTAGGATGGTCACAGTTTCCCAGTTGCAACTATGGTTGAAATTGATTGTTTGAATAGGGAGTTCAAATTATGCATTTCTTTTGAAATGGTAGGGATTACATTTACTTTTTAAAGAAATTTGGCCTCGATCCATCTATTCTTGCATGGTATTAGATCTGTGGAAGACATTTAACAAGGCCTTTGCTTTCTCTGAGAAATCCCAACAGAAGCCTGGCTGCCATTTTCTGGTTATCCACAGTTTCTGAATTTTATATAGTCCTTTGTGAGCTTAACTCTGTTTTTCTACTGGTGAGCTTTTATTATTAATGTTTTGTTTTTATATTGTAAATTGCTACTGGCTAGTTTTATCTGGAGCGAGTAGGTTATAAATGTGTTAAATAAATGAATAATTGAGTAGTATATTGTAAAGACAGCTATTTTGTTCTGTTGAATGCACAGCTCTTTCGTATTCAGAAATCTCAGGAGAAGAATTTTGCCCTTCATCTTAAGTGCATTTGGAATATATATATATATTCAGACCTAAAACATTCACCATTAGTTTATTCTCTGTTTTCCTATGAATCTAATGTACTGATTTAACAGGATATATGAGAAATATAATTTCAGATGCTGCGTTCTGCTTACCTGAAAAAGAATCCCACTGTTGTTGACTCTGAAAAGCTTGACTCTACCTGCATACTAATTTGTTGGGTATCTGTTCAGAGCCCCCCAAAGCAGGCATTTGTGTCAGTTGCCATGGCGCTGTATGCTGTTCCTCCCTCTCGACAGCTTCACTTAACATCTTCCTCTATCCTTTATGCCCAGTTCATTCACCCAGAAAGTTCAGCTATTAAAACAATGCCTTGAGGAAGGGCTGAGGAAGGGCAAAGGCACAGGGTGAAGAGGTAAACCATGCCTGTAGATGTCTAAGGGGACTTGGTTCTGTGACCCCTCTGGGAAATACAAACCACAAACCATGTCATATTCATACTTGATAGATATGCACATATACAAACTCTCATGAAAATAGAACTAGGATGAGGGTAAGCCCCAGCTGTGGATTTTTTCAAATTTGTTCTATTGTATAAAAGAGCAAACCGAGCACTAAAACATAGTGTGGCATGGTTGTGTGATTGAATTGTCTCTCAAATGCACCAATTAATAGCCAAGACTTCTCCTTTGACTTCTCCTTCTCCTCTGACTCCGGACAACAGGCCCTGCTGTTTATCTCTGTCAGTCTCTGTTAATTAGAATCTGTTTCTTTCTTATCCACAGGACAGCTTTCCTGCTCGCTTTGGAGGCATCCATTTTGTGAACCAGCCGTGGTATATCCATGCTCTCTACACGCTAATCAAGCCCTTCCTCAAAGACAAGACACGGAAAAGAGTAAGTAATGAGAAAATGAAGCAAGTCTGTGATGTTGCAAGCCTACACGTGATATTAGGGAATTTCTACTCTTCTCTGCCTCTTCCTTTTTCTCTTTGTGGTTTGCAACAAGGGATGATGTCTCAGCTGGATTTTGTCAGCAGCCTACATTTAATCACTATTTCAGCAGGAGAGAATTATTTCCAGGTTCCAAGCCAAGTATCAGAAAATCTTTCATCATATACACATGGAAAAAGCAACTTTCTGTAAAATATAAAATTATCTAATTTTCAACCCAATGCCCTTTTAATGCCGTGGACGATTCATCCTGTTCCCTACAGGACACAATAGGTTGCTAAACCCATTGATAGATAACATTTCAAGTCTATGTTATCAAAGGATAACATAGATCCTTTCCCCCCCAAACATTTTAACCTTGGGAGAAATCTCAGATTTTGCTGTTAGCATACTGTTTTTTATGTAACCAGTTGAGAGCAAAATCACTGATAACAGTTAAACTTCAAATGCTATTATAAAAGGAAAAAAAACCTTGGGATATTGATTTTTATGATGCATGCATGCATCCATCAACTTTTCTTTTGTTAGGAAATGCAAAATTATGCTAAATAAAAAGTAAGAAATAGTAAGCAAGAGTTAGTAAAGTTAGTAAAGTTCATATTCAAGACATGAAATAAGGAGGCAGCAAAAATTTGGTTGACTAGAATTGAGAATATCTTTGAAAAGAGAAAGATAAGATGTTCAAAGAAAAATAAGACCATGTATGAAGCAGTATATGGACATGATAAAGGCAAGGTAGAATTGTTCGAAAGGTCAGGTATAGCCTCCTGAGGTATAGCAAATGATTCCGAAATACATTAAATTTATTTAGATTTTCCTTTCTTTAACATTTGGCCTATTTCTTTTTTGAGACTATTATTTTTTATTATTTTTCTGTACTTTGGGACACATTATTTTATCCTAGCAGAAAAAAAGCATAATGGAGATATTTTTATCTACGCATGAATATATAATTCAGTGATGGTTAACCTTTTTGGCACCGAGTGCCAAAATGGGGTGCATGCATGCCAGCGCACTGGAACCCAGAAGAGAGCAGCTGGCCGCTGCGTCCATGCACATCGGGTTCCATCGCACGCATGTGCGCCAGACAGCTAGTCTCTTCTGGGCTTGTGCGAAGACCAGCAGGTCGGCGTGCATGTGTGTGCCGGAACCCAGAAGAGAGCAGCTTGCCGGTGCGCATATGCGTGCTGGACCAGTTGGCTGGCGCGCATGCGCACGACGGAACCCAAAAGAGCAGCTGGCGATGGCGGGCATGCCCACAGAGAAGGCTCTGTGTGCCACCATAGGTTTACCATCACGGATATAATTCATTCATATGTATGATTTAAAAGAGTTACTTGTAAATGCAATTCTTCTAATGGAAAGCATTGTAGCCGCAGAGGCTATTTGATTATAATGTGGCTCTATTTGCTTGATCAAATCTTTTTTAAAATTATAATAAATTGAGGGATATTGTGAACAAGGATTAGTAAACTGCAATTTTATAGATATTTCTATAGAAATAAACTCTTTTGAATTTAATGATACTTATACAAGCCTAGTCATGGAGAGGATTACACTATCGGTTGTTTTTTTTTTAATGTAGTGTCCATTCATCCATAATGAGGCAAGAATAAGAAGACATTTCTGTAAATTTTATATATAAAAATCTTATAAAGACATCCGTTAAGTTATATTGGATGTGAGAAATTGCAGGTCAATTCAATGTGATGATTTTTTTTTCATCCTATTGTGAGAGCAATAAAGTCAGAAGGTGCTGATTTTTTGCTATGTATGGCATTATGTTCTGCAGTCTCTGGTTGCTGTTTGATTGCAGGGCATGGGGATCTATGGGAGGGCAAGGGGGGAGCAAATGACAAAGATGCATTGTGACATCATGATTCAAACACCATTAAACTTGCATCACACACCCAAAGGTGAATACTTAAAGGTGAAATATTATATCATGATATTACCATTTGGAGATAATCTGGGTTTCCTGTATACACTTCTGTTGCCAGAGCACATAGTTGCTCAGAGGTTTGGACATACTTAGGGTAGGATTCTTTAGGCATCTTACCTGAAGAATCTTGGTTTCAGATGCTGCTGCTCACTCATGCCCAGAGTTTTCTGTGGCCACAGCAATGGTTTCTTAGCTCTCTGTCAATGTTCTTTAATGTACTGCACTCATGGTGGAGGAACTTCAAAGATCAAAGTCAGAATGGAATGGAAACTTCAACATCATTGTTCTTGAACACTTTATTTTCTTATCCATGTTTGTACAGTTTATATGTTCATTACCATTTGTTTATTCAGTAATCAAACACAGAATTATTTTATTGGATTGATGTTATCCAATCCTTGCTTTAAGGCTGAAATATTTCTTAGACATATATAAATATGTATCAGATTATCACATTCTAATAATATAGTAATACAATAAGGTGATGACTATGCGTAAAAATATATTTCAAAAGAGACAGAGAACAAAAATGAAAAGAATACTAAAACAAGTAGGTAGCAGAGTAGGAATGCAATTAACTACCTCTTCAGCTGTTTCCAGATGTATTGGACTTCAGCTCCAACTAACAAGTTGGAGCTGAAGTCCAATACATCTGGAAACAGCTAAAATAAATGAAAAGTTTCAGGAAAAATAGACTGATTTTATCTGGAATTGACAGTCAACAACACAGGCATAATGGTTGGACTCTTGTCATTCATCAACTGTTCACAAGGCAAACCTCTTGATGAATGTGTGAATGTCCAAATAGGGATTTATATTTGAGGCCAAAATTATTTGCCTGCAAGAAGGCAATGAAAACAACAAAAGCTTGGCTTAATTCCAACAGGTCAATTGCTATTTATTTATTTATTTATTTGCAAAACAGTAGTACAGCTAGTCCTCAATTTATGACCACAATTGAGCCCAAAATTTATGTTGTTAAGTGAGAAATTTGTTAAGTGAGTTTTGCCCCATTTTTCAACTTTTCTTGCCATATGTGTTAAGGGAATCACAGCAGTTGTTAAATTAATAATACGGTTGTTAAGTGAATCTGGTTTCCCCATTGACTTTGTTTGTCAGAAGGTTGCACACTGCAGCTGTCATAAATGTTGGTCAGTTGTCAAGCATCTGAATGTAAATCATGCGGCCATGGGGATGCTGCAACTGTCACAAGTGTGAAAAAAAGCTGTACAGGTATTCCAGTGATGGGTTCCTCCAGTTTGGCCCGGTTCCCCCAAGCCAGTAGTGGTAACTGTTTGAAGTTACAATGGCACTGAAAAAAGTATTTATGACTATGTCACTTTTTTCAGTGCCGTTGTAACTTCAAACAGTCACTAAGCAAACTGTTGTCATAAGTCGAGGACTACCTGTACAGCTTTCTGAACATTATTCAAAGGCAGGTTTTACATAAAGGGCAATTCCACTGTTCTTTCGCTATCAATGTATCTTTTTCTTACTTTTACAAAAATCTTGATTATTGGAATGGCACAAACACACTGTAACAACATCTAATATCTGTTTTGTTTTTAAAAAGATCTTTCTTCACGGAAACAACCTTAATAGCCTTCACCAGCTCATACACCCTGATTGCTTACCTTCAGAGTTTGGAGGGACTCTTCCTCCCTATGACATGGGCACTTGGGCTCGGACGTTACTTGGACCGGATTATAGCGATGAGAATGACTACACTCACACATCTTACAACACCATGCATGTGAAGCATTCATGTTCCAACCTAGAGAGGGAATGCTCTCCAAAACTCATGAAAAGGTAAGATCAAAGAAAAAAGCTTCCATCTAGAAGAATTTTGTCTGTTTTCTCTCTTTAACTAGAGGATTAGGAAATATATCTGGGCTTGAAATCACCATGAGTAGCAAGAAAGAAATTTTGAAAACTTTGCCATCTACTGTTTATATAGATTTTTGCAGCCCAGATATGGAACAGTTCTCACCACTTCGGGAGAACCGGTTGCCTGCGGAGCTGGCAGCAGAGTCGGACAGTGAGGAGGCTGGGGAGGATCATGGGCCAGTCCTGGAGTCAGGGGAAGGCCCGGACGAGGGTTCTGTGTCAGAGGCAGAGATAGGGCCAGGGCCATCTGGGAGTGATGTGCGGACTCCGAAGCCTCCAGAGTCAGACAGCAGAAAGGCAGAGGAACAGGAGGAGCCTGTTCCTAGTGCACGCATGCACAGAGCTGCCAGAAGACAAGAGCAGCTAAAGCAAAAGGGAACACTTGGGAGTAAGGCCAGAAGATGATTGGCCCCTCCCATTAGGCTTAAAAGAGCAGCAAAGGCTCTTGGGCTCTTTGTAGGAAAGCAATGTTGCTAAATCTATTTCCAGTCGGTGTCTCTTGTTTCTGAACTTCATGGGGCTTTGCCAAGAAAGGCCTTTGGCAGGGTGCAAAAGAAGATAAAGGTTTGTGATAAGGCCAAAGGACTTTTTCTGAAGGACTTGTTTTGGAATTAATCTGGACTAATCTGGGAATGAAGTAATTCTCAGCTGTTATAATAAAATAGTTTTGTTTGGGACTAATTGTGTCTTGTAATGACTAAGTGAGCCTAGGTCACAACAAGCAGTGAGATTCACTTACCTTCCCTACCAGTTCTCAAATGTCTGCTCATGCACAGTAGGCTCACGTTACATCAAGTTGGGTGGGCAGAGCCTCCCGCCGTCGCAGCTACCAGTTCGCATGATCTGGAGAAAACCGGCTGAATTCCACCACTGTATATACACATATACACATACACATGTACGTATGTATAAATAATTTTTATCTGGGCTGCAAAAATCTATACAAACATTAGATGGCGACGGGTTCAACATACATATAACATTTTCCTGGGTTTTATTAATGACAACTGATCTTCCTGGGGTTGTTCTCTATCACCTTATGCTTCAGTTCAACATCAGTAGTTTATCATGGGGATGGGGGACAGAGTCAGCTTTGTGTGCAGGCAATAAGATGGCGCAGCTGAATATGCAAGGAAGCTATGGGAGGTGTGGAGTCAGGTTACTGCTGCCTGCATGCTGATCAGCTGCTTGACAATCTGCTTGGCAGCAGATATAAAAGAAAAGTATGCTTTCAAGTCTGTTTTGATTGCTGGTGACGACTCTTGCAGTTTTCTTGGCAATATTTTTCAGAAAATGCTTGCCATTTATTTCTTCCTATGGCTGAAAGACATGACTGGGTTCACATCACCCAACTGACTTAGGACTTAGAACTCATGGTCTCCCAGTTCTAGGCTGGTACCTTAACCATTAGAGCAAAGTGGCTCTCAACAACAAAGGAAGGGAATATTAAAACTGACGTGCTCCGGGTGTCAAATACACTAGGTACATTAATGGTGTCATGTTGTACATAACAAGTGATTTGGGTGCCTTCTGAACACACCAAACAGGGTTGAAAGGAATCTCTTTATCATGGAGGCAGTAGAGTAAAATAAACTCTGAAACTATAATGCTCTGAAATTTAAAAAGTTAAATCTACCCATGTACTATTTACTACCCATGTACTATGTACTAACTGTTTTTAATGACAGTTATATTTTTTATAATATTCTGCTATCTGAAAAAATTCTAGAGCAGTTCATGCCATAATTGATCTTCAAGCAGTTTGAAAGCAGTGTGATAATTATCGAAAAGCTGCATGGGCACTAATGAATAAGTTTTATGTTACCTCATTTTTAATTGCATAATTTGCTTAATCAATTTTTGAAATGCTATATATCTTGATATATATCTCGATTTCAGTAAAGATGTGTTAACATATGTTATTTGGGTTATTGATCCTGACAATGTTTAGACATATTTGTTTAGTTTGTTAGATGTTCAGCATCACTTGGCAAATTGGCAGTCAAATAAATCAAATGCATAAATAAATATCCTATGCTACTTTGATTAGTAATCTAGTTAAGTGTGGATTGCATAAAAGGATTATTGTTAGCTAGAATATTGAGTGAGTTGCCACAAGATTTAGTCCTAGTTCTTGTACTCATTAATTATGGTCTGGGATAACTCATTTTTTAATAATTTGAAATCAGTGCTTATCAAATTTGCAGATGATACAAAATCAAGTGGGCTCATATCCCAGAAAACATATAAAATTCAAAATAATTTTGGTAAATTTGAAATGTGTGCTAAAATTGAGAGAATGACATGAAACAAATTCAAATGCAAAATTCTTTGCTGAGTAAACAAGAATCTGAGGCACATATAAAAGGAGGTGGATTAGAAATAGGTTGTATGAAAAAGTTATTGTAATATTGTGTATTACAAATTAATATATAAGCCGATATAGCTTAATGCCAAAACACAGGTAAATACAATTTTAGGCTTCATCAACAGATAAAAAATTCCAGATGTGAGAAGTGACCAAAATACATCTTGAGCACTATGGACACAATTGTTTAAGAATTAATTGGGAAAATTAGATCAGGCTCAGTAATGGCACTTAGGATGATTTGGGGATTTAAAAACAATGATGAAACATTGAAGCAATTTGGAATGTTTTCTTACAAAAGGAAAGCTGATGGGGGAATATGATCCCTCTTTAAGTGAATAGGATTTCTTCTGTGAGAGGAAAGTCAAGAGCTTTTTTCCCCATCATTTTAAAGACAGGGATTCATGGATTTATTGGTTGATATTGACTGTTGACACCTCCTGACCACAAGGAGACAGTTGGATATAGTTAGGCAGTTAAGGATTTACTCATCACTACTCATTTGGAGTATTTTAATGCACTGCACAGTGGCTGCTGTTGAAAAACCACTCTGAAACTGCAGTTGGCATTCAATATGGTAGCCACCAGAAACAGATAACATCTATGCTGAAGGCTCAGCATTGGCTTCCAAGAGTTTCTGGGTGAAATTCAAAGTGTTTGATGGTGACTTATAGCTTGGCACAGGGTATTCCAAATTTTTTTACTACTGGTTCTGTGGGCGTGGCTTGGTGGGTGTGGCGGGGAAGGATACTGCAAAATCCCCATTCCCTCCCCACTCTGGGGCCAGCCAGAGGTGGTATTTGCCAGTTCTCCGAACTAGTCAAAATTTTCGCTACTAGTTCTCCAGAACCTGTCAGAACCTGCTGGATTTCACCCCTGGTTTGGCACCAAGGTACTTGCTAGACTGCCTCTTCCTACCAGAACAATAATCCTGCAAAGAAGTATTTATTTCCCTCATTTTCATGCATAGGAACCAAGGCTAGAAACTTCTTATTATGTTTCCATTCCTTTGGATTAGCCCTCATGCAGAAATCAGGCTTGCCATTTATTAAGGCATTGGACTGGCACAGAGCAAATCCAGGTTATAATCTAGCACCATTTATTTGGGAGTGGTTTTAGCTAGATATCATGAGACTTAATTCTGAATAAGCTTACATAGGATTGTGCTCTATTACAATTTTTTCATCAATATGAATAGTATAACTCTAAATAATAGAAAACAAATTACAAACATTTCTCATGTTCAGTTCTTCTTGTTGCTGCACATAATAATCAGCATAGTACACAATATTATTATCTATTTGGTGATAGGGAATATAGATGGCTGTTTAAATACTAAACTATTAATTTTAATAGAAGAGAATATATGTAACTCACGATTGAACAGAGAGTGCCCACTGATCTTAGCTGTTTGCTTGCAGACATTTTGTTACCAGACTAGGTGATATCTTCAGTGCTAGGAGAGAATGGGGTTTGCCCTCTGTTTAAATATAGTAGGTTACTTTGTCAGTGTTTGTGGGGGTGTTGTTTTCTTTTCAGTGGTGCCTTGATTAGGCTGTTGTTTACTACTTGATTATTTGTCTGATTTGCTACTTCCTTAATTAGGGTATTGTTTATTGTTTGTTTGTTTGTCTGATGTTAATCCTTGTGTTAATTCCTGCTTATTTTAGTGTTGATTGTTGATGAAGAGGTAATCTGGTCTTTTTGTTTCCTTTTTAGCTTTTTTATTGTCCTTTTTGAATGGTATGTAAATGTAGTTTATATCTATGTGCCTATTGATCGCTTATTTGTCCGGAATCATCCAGAAATTCCTTAGCATTTTTTTAAAGCTTAATTTAGAATTTATTTATTTATTTATTTTATTTTATTTTTCAATTTATATACCGCCCTTCTCCCTGAGGACTCAGGGCGGTGCACAGCCAGAATTAAAAACATGAAATACAAATATTAAAAACAATTAAAATCTATATAAATTTGGCCCAAAATTTAAAAAACCACAAACCAATTAAACATTTAAAAATTAAAAAAAAATTTCTTCCTAAGCCAGCCCGGCTTGCTGGAAAAAGTGGGTTTTAAGGGCACGGCGGAAGGCACTGAGGTCTTGGATTCTCCTTATCTCTTGGGGCAGCTGATTCCAGAGGGTAGGTGCCCCCACAGAGAAGGCTCTCCCCCTGGGGCTCACCAGCCTACATTGTTTGGCTGATGGCACCCTGAGGAGGCCCTCTCTGTGGGAGCGCACGGGTCGCTGGGAGGTCGTCAGTAGCAGCAGGCGGTCTCGAAGATAGCTAGGCCCTATGCCATGGAGCGCTTTAAAGGTGATAACCAACACCTTGAAGTGCACCCGGAAGACCACCGGGAGCCAGTGCAGCTCGCAGTTTCCCAGTTGAAACTCTAGCTGAGTTTGTCCACATCTTCTAACTGTTATTTGGTGTTCATGGATGTGAAGACTGCTAATCTTCTGCCTTTTTGCCCTGCATGGTGGCTGTTACAGTCTTAACAACCTGTTGTAAATGACTCATGTTTTTTCTTTCTTGGGCTACTGAGTCTTTTGGGTTACTTAAGATGTTTTGAAGTGCTTTAGTATATTTGTGTTGCTGTATGGTTTAACAGCCTGTTGGTTATTTCTGATTTTTTTAAATGCATGGTACTATTGTCCTTTTCCTAACTTGTGTTGGTTGTATTGTAGTGAGTTGAATAGTCAGGTACTTTTTGATAAACTTGCATGGGTATCCAATTTGTTGGAAGAGATTGAATAGCATCTCTGTTTCATTTTCCTGGTATTCTGGTGAGTTTGTGCTCATCTGAGTAATGTTCTTATATATATATATATCCCCTTGTGGGAGGTTGGATTGTTACTTTGGTAATGAAGCATGTGGTTAGTGTGGGTGATTTTTCAATAGACTTGCTTTTCTAATTTTCTGCCATTTCCTCTCCTGAAGAAGATATTCAGAAAAGGTAGTGTGTGGTTATTTTCTTCTTCCCTTGTGAATTTTATCCTTTAAAGATATCGCTGATTGTTTCATGTGTTTTCTCAATTGTTCCTTTATTATTATGACAAATGTGTCATCAACATACCAGATCCATAGTTGGGTGTATGCATGGGAGTGCTGTAGCTTCTAGATACTGCATTACAGTCTTTGCTATGAGTGTTGAGAATGGTAATTCCCATTGGTGTTCTTCTGAATTATTTTTGTATGGTGTGCTGACAGTTACCTTTCAAAGAGTAGTGGAACTGGGTGACATTTCAATTCAATTGGATTTCATTCTTAATTAACGTTATGTATAAATCAATATTTTTCTCTTTTGTGAAATCAATATCAATTTGGTAAAGCAATTGGAGATACCAAGGCTTTGGGAGACCTTTGCTGGTTGTATTCTCATCATGTTTGTGAATAAAAATATACATTGAAGTGAATTTTAAATCACAGATGTAGAGATTTAGAAGCAGAGGTGTCTGCTGAAAGGGAGTCAAAAAGTAAAAATGGTGGCCACAAACTTGTGAAAGAGATGGAGCTTGATTTCACATCAATATCACACCTTGCTTGATCCCCTTGTGGATATCATGGTTAGAAGGGTACTTTAAAACTGTTATGCCTGGGAGGACCTTATAAATAAAATGGCTGAACAAATTCCATTTTTTTTCCTATTGGAGAATACTTTCTGCATTTTTACTGTTTTAAATTTCTTTTCCATCTCTAGTTACTATGACAACTTAATTGTCCTTTGTGTGCTGCCCACACTGCAAGAGAAAGAAGTACTGACACTATAGAGAAACTATAGTATGTACCTCAGGGGAAAAAACCTCATACCACTTGCCATGAAAACCATACCAAATCAACTGCAGATTTCCAAGTGACATTGACAAAATTTACAATTCAATATGAATTTTAATATTTATCTCTTCTACCACAATAATAACTGGCATGGTGTAATGTGTCTTCCTTTCAAATGGTATGTTCTATGTGGAATCCCCAGTGAAGTATTAAGCTGGTGGGCACCAAAAGCTGGCAGGCTTTTTTCACGAATGGTCCCCAATTATGCAACTCTTTTGCACCCTGATATAAAAAATATATGGTCACATACATTACATATCTTCCTCCTCCCTCTCTCTCCTCTCAAAATGACCACAAGTCTTTGGGGATTTTTCTTTCTAAATAAAGCTTAACATAGGTAAATATTGTTCTTCAGATCTCTCAGGGTTTAGACAAGTGACACCATAAACATGTCAAATGTTTATTAACATTCCAGTTCTAAAGACTGAGGGAAGAGCTGGGTTTTGAGTCCTTTCAAAAAGCCAACAGGTTAGGACCACTTAGTCTTCAGGGTGAAGGATGTTTCATGGTGCGGGTACCAGAACAGAGAAGGCACATCTCCTAAGTCCCGTAAGAAAACACTGTTTCACAGAAGTGACCTGGAACATGTTTACCTTGCTGAATCCAATAAGATAGAGAGAATCTACCAGAATCAGGCACTCTCTCAATTAACCTAGATGTATGCCATATAGGGCTTCACACTGGATAACAAACACCTTGAGTTGCACCCAGAAACTTACTGGAAGCATACCCAGCTCAATGCTGTTACATGATATTATGTGGGGATAACATTCTGGGTTACTGCATTTTGGACTAGATTTGGATTTCAAAATACACTTTCAGGGCATTTTCACATACACCATATTGCAGTACTCCAATTAGGAAGTCATTAATACATGAGTAACTATGAGCAGAAGAACTTAATCCACGGAGAGGTGCAACAGATGGATTTGTGCAAGGGTCTTCTTGGCCACAGCTTCCACCTGTCCCTCAAGTGGGAGCCCAAGAGAACCCTTAGATGACACACAATAGCTGAGATTGTCAGAGAGGTACCACATTCAGAATTATTGATGAAAACTCTCCAGATGAGGGGATTCCCTAAAACCTATAGCCACTTAATCTTGCTAGAGTTGAGTTAGAGCCTGTTCTTCCCCAAATTCTCACAACAGAACAAAGATGTATAATTATGTATCAGTGATCAATCCTGTCTCAGTGCTATCCCCCAGCCTGAACCCAACCTGAAAAGATTCTAGATAATCTGTTTCTTCCAGGATCCTTTGAAGCTATGGGCCTAAAAAGAGTTTTATCCAAGTTGAAGCCTGGATGAAAATTGTCAAGATGTCATGGATGCAGCAATGGCCTCTTGAGGAGTGGTGAACTTCTTATCAACTTCTAATCAAACAAGATCATGTTTCATTTTGCTTCTCAGAAGTGAAGAAGCTTCTTGGATGAGCAGCAAAATGTTTTCAAAGAAAAAAAAAACCCAAGAAAGTCCAGTTGCTTTCAGAAAAGTTTGGGACAACTACCTGCTCTGTTTCATAACTCATCTGCTTTCTACAAAGCAAAATGCACTGCAGGAGGACAATAATCTTTAGGAGTTTCTAAATATTGTACCCTTCTAGATATCCCTGAGGTACAAAGTCCAGTATCGTCCACCTTTGGCCAGGTTGGCTTGGGCTTGGGAATTGCTTATATCAATATGATTACATATATGCCACTTTGCAGCAGCCTCCTTTCCTCAGAATAATAAACAAGAAGGAGTAACAGATTTTGATCATTAAGGGAACAGGTATAGATTGGATTTTTTTTTTCTTTACTTGGTATAATATTAACCTAGTATTACAGAAAGGCACTTCTAGACCAGTTTTCAAGAGTGTGCAGAATCATGAATATCAGAGATCTTATTCTTTCTTTAGCAGTAAACAACCTGTGATATTGCCTAGGTTATTATAATATGAAACTACTTTGGTTGACTCATAATGGACAAACTGATCACGGGAAATCTAAATGTTTGCTTTTCATTCCCTGCCATTTTCTTAGTTGAGCCTAAGATTCGAATGTGAATCTCAGGCTCAAATTTTTATCTTGCAAATTAGCTTTGGTAAAGGAGTAGGTCCTTTCAATTCTTTGCAAATGATCCAAGACTTAATTTGAAGGTTAGAAAGTTATAGAAGCAAAGCAGCCTCCCTCCTTTCTCTCAATGAAGAGATTATTTGTCCTTGGAAGGAAAACATTTGCAACATGCTGCAATTAATTTCCTATTCCCAAGATAATTTTCATTAATATTTTAAAAAAGAGAGATGGTAGCTTTGCTAATTTTACCTGGTAACTGCTGGTGATTATTTAGATAGAATATATTTAGGTAGAATATAATGTCTACTTTTTAAATTTAGTTAATGGTTAAATGGCATTTAACATGCGGGAATCACAGTCCACCATTAATTCAATTAATTCTGTGTGGTCGTTCTCACAGCATTTTGGAATATTGTTCAATTATTGCTACATACCAGGAATCAGTTCCACAGAGAAAGGTTTTTCTGCGGACCAGAAAGGGTGTGGTTTTGCATGCTGCCTGCATCCCGTGGATGGGGCTTCACTTGTTTGTGTGGACCGGTTGCTGGCATGCCGCAGACTGGGGTTGGGGACCCCTGATTCAGAGTCCTCATAATAGTACCTGAACCAAATTGGCTTCCAAGTTTTTTCAGGAGTTGAAAAATATACAGCTGATAGCTACTTCATTGAGATAATAGGTGAATTTTGTATCCAAAAAGACAATAGCAACAAACAATAGGCATGCTGTTTAATTTCTAAGCAATATTTACCATTCTGTTTTTTTCAGGTCTCAATCTGTGGTGGAACCCGGAATATTAAAGCATGAAGAACAGAATGTAAATGAGAACACCCAGCCACTACTAGCTCTAGACTGAGATTGAAATCCCTGCGAAATACAGCTGTATCCTCAGACTTCAGTGGTCCACAATCCTTTTGAAGCAAATGACAGGTTTAATACACATTAATGTGCATTCAGCTTAAAAAAAACCAAGCACTCCATCTTTGTGGAGCAAGTAACGATTATCACCAGCCATGTGTCTGTGTCCAAAGCCAGAGGTAAAATATTCCTTGTGGCCCAGAATAACAAGTGAACAAGTCTGATTGTAAAACAATTTTTTATAAGAGTGCATTATATTAATAATGTCTGAAACACAGATTGTTTTCAGTGATCTGTCACTGAAAGATGGATCCATTGAAGTTCTCTCATATTGTTTAGGCAGAGTTACAGTTTTGTTTAAATAAAAATTAGAAGGCGTGCATGCCTGTGCATAGACACATACATACGTATTTACACAGCCACTTTAAAAATGTCTTGAGTTTAAATATTGCAGTAAGAAGCCAACCTTGGTTTGCAGTACAGAAGTATCACGTCCAAAGTTTCTCCTAATTATCTCCCATCATCACCAGCAGCATGGCATCGATCATGTTTACTAGGCATAATAGAAATTGTAATCTAATCTTTTTGGAGGGCACCCAGCTGGGAAAGTTACATGTGTGAAATACATGCAAACACAAGCAGGGTGTCTTGAATGTCTTGGGAGATTAATATTCCAATTGAGGATTTCTTGTTTAGATCAATTGAGCTCAGCAGAATTCCCTAAGTATATTTTCTCCTGCAATCAGTTAAAGATATACCAAGTCAGGTTTGACTGACTGCAAATTAGGTTACATTTATAATAGAAAGAAAAAGCTTGGGATCAGTTATTGAATATACTACCATTAGAAAGAAAAGTGGAACAAATCATAAATATCCAGAGATCAAAAGCCAAAGAACAGATGGTTATTCCAGACTTTGTTCTGTTTTGGGCCCCATTCAATTCGTATAAAGAAATAAAAACAAACACTATATATATATATATATATTTTACAAATCAGTTATAGCAACATTATTTTTATTGTGATTTTATTTCTTCAAATACAGTGAGCACTTTAGTTGCACATCACAATATGACATAGCAGTATTTAGGAATCTTTAATCAGAGAACATTTAAACCATATTCATAGAGAGGCTTAATCACCATCGACCAAGGATGGCTATCCAAGGTGGTGGTCTGAAGCAGTGATGTTTTTCAGCAGTAGCCAAATATGATGAATCAAATCATATGTTGCTATCAAGTATCTTTAGTGGGGACTTGATCTTTTAGGAACTGTCTAATCTATAGTGCTAAAATATTGCTTGTACATTTTTCTACAGAGATAATATACTTTAATTAACATTGTTATTGTCCCAGAACTGAGTATGACTTTCTTTCTTCTATGAAACCAGTAATGCTCAATCAGTCCTTTCTTCTAAGTGAAATACAGGGTCTCCATTCATACAGGAAACTTACTCTGGACCACAGCTTGTCCTGGTCAAAAATCATTTTTTTTTTTTTGCCATGAAACCAACAATGAAAACTGTTAATCATAACCAAGCACGTGAGTTTTTAATCAATGTATGATTTAGGGAAAATGTGCTGCACTTATGTTTCAATAGGATTTCATACCCACCAAAAACAATGACCAAATGCATTGTAAATTTTGAAAAAAGGCTTCAACAAGCATTAAAAACTTATCTAAAGAACTGTGTAATTTATTTTCACAATGAAATAATGTTTGGCACTTGTTCTTTTTTCACTCACCATTCACCACTCTCACAAATGTTTCTTGCTTTCAGTGGGTTTTGCACACTAATTGATTACATCTACTTATTTCAGCTGTGTCTCACATTTTTCCATGCCACAGGGGTTAGGGTTATTGCTATCAATCAATGATTGACAGAGCTGTAAATTTATGTCCGCATTCAATAATCACAAGAAGAATATTGTACCAATCAATTATGCCTGCGGTGGACGAAAATGATTGGGCATGAGATTTTAATATTTATGGTGGCCAAAACAAAGAAACAAACGTCAAACATCTTATTGGTGTGTTATATATAAAATCCACAGACATTCAAGTTAGCAATTTCAACTCAGCTAATAAATCCTGAAATTGTGAAGTAAATAAGCTTGTGTGAAGATTATAATATACTTTGAAAATATCACAGGAATATCTTTCCTAAAGAATCTTGGTATTACTAAGGTTGAGGATGAATACAGTTTAAGTCTGCAGTTCTACTGTGCATCACTTTTTTAATATGTTTCTTACAGTAACATAGAGGAGTATAATAACTTTAAAATGAAAAAAGTAAAAACCGAAACATGTACCCTGTGCAATATACTTTTCAGTTAAGGGTTGCTAGCAGCAGTAGTTCAAGGAAACTGTGCTTCATTACTGTGAGCAAAACTCAGATTTGATACTGAAACAGAAATGTGTTAGGATAGTAAAATTATTTGGAAATAATGCTTTGGACTTCACCAAAGTATGAACCTTTACATATTTGTTAATGCATCTGTTTTCAAAATTTATGCACCAGAATTAAAAATGCACACAGCTACATTATAAGGCATTAGTTCATGAGGAATCCTGAAAAGAAGAGTCCCTGCATCAAATTAATATGATAGAGATGATGGTTTTGTTCCTCATAAGGTCCAGAGCTTCTCTTTAAAGCTCTAGGGCATGTCTCTCTATGTGCATCTGTACACCATGCACATGAACAGGCAGCTATATATTTGTTTTGAAAGCTCTTGAATTTAAGGCACAGAATGCCGTACCACAAGCATTCTTAAATTTTGAGATATCATCCTAAAATGATAATGAATGTGTATGAGAACCCCAGGAATTAAACTAATAATTTGATTTTGATTAAGGTTGTACATGAAACAAATATGGAGTCCTTGGTATTCTCTGAGTTTGATTGCTTATGGATGAATCATACTGATGATGTTATTTAGTTGGGTAAGGAAACATCTGCAAATGAACCAAGCTCAGAGAACGTCAAGAACTCCACTGCCCTATCCTGAGCTATAGATATTCTTTCCTATAAAATAGACTCTTTGTAATAATTGAAATACAAATTATATATCAGAAAACAAGGATAGAATCTTGCAACTTTACTACATAAAATGCTTTATTTGAAATAAAAAAATTAAATGGGAGTCTATCTTTTTTAATGGGAAGGACACATAAATTTGCTTGATTTTGCATAATCTCTGAAATCAATCCTGCATATTCATGAGAGGAACCTTTTGTTCCTCTGTCCATCATTTATTTTTGGCCCATATTTGTTTTTTTTTTATAGCAGCAATAGTATCATACTAAAAGGGTGCTCCAAACTTTAATCAGTAGACTGGATATACCTGCCCCAAAAATCCATTAAGTAAGACTATAGTCATTTAGAATAATTAAAAAATAATACTGAAATTCTGTAACTTGCATATTTTTACAGAAATTTCAAAGAAACCGGTACACTATTGATGGGCTGCTACCAGCACCAGCAAGTTACAAAAGATAGACTATTTATTTGGCAGAGACGCCAGACTCAATAATATTTCTGAGAGAAGCCAAACAACATAATTTTCTATAACATAAATAATTAAAAAGAAGAATTGTAGGCAGTTTACACAGTCCTTGTGGCTGTGATAAGAAAAGGAGGCATCTGGAAAATTGATTTATACAATTTTTAGTATTGAAAAGTCTGACCATGAATATCAAGCCTCAGACAATATATATTATTTCAACACTGGTCCTCCTTAAGATGTTTCCAATTCTCAATTTGACAACTTTTGTCATAGCAAAGAACAAACAGCTATCAAGGCAGATTAAGAGATTATTCAATCTATGATATGCTATATTTTGCACAAATTATGACCAGAAATTATTTCCAGGAGCACCTGTTGGATTTTGCAGACCTACATTTGAAATGTGTATCTTGGTACATTTCTCTGCATAAAATTACACCAATCTTGTACCTTTTGACAATGAGCAATTAATTGCTTATAACTAGTCTTAGTGTATGTAATTTGAAACATTTATGCAAAGCTGTTTAAATGTCAGTCTTGCTTATTGCATCATCAGAGATGAATGTAAAATTATATAGTGGCTTCAAAAAGAGAACAGGTTCAAAGGTTGGCACTGATAGGTTGAATGACAATGAATCATTAAAAAAGTTTCATGATCATTCATTCATTCATTCATTCATTAATGGGAAAACCACTAAACACCACAGAATATATTTATATGTTACTTTCTCTTTCTTAGTTTCATGTAGGATATGAAATTGGCTGTAATTGAAAACAAAAATGTTACAAAACAGCTCCAGTTATCAATTATTTCTTAATCAGGCTTTAAATTATGAGTTTCTTTAAAAAAAACTGCATTACAAAGTTGGTGAAAAAAATGCAGCCCACAGCCTCTATGTACTTCATCTAAGCTTAAAATATGTTTTTATGTTATTAAAAAAAATTAAAAATAAACACAAAATTGGGTAAAATTTGCTCTTAACTAGAATTGGACAAAGGAAATGTTTACTCATCCTTTGACTTGGAAGGAAAAAGCCATCCTCAGTAAAATAGATCGCTGCTTGTATAAGGCTTCATTGTTTCTAAATTAATATAAAAAGGGAACTAAAAGAAAAGTTGAAAAAGAAAGTGGTTCAAATAGAACAGAAAAAAGTATCCATACATACTGTATCTGATGAAAAAATGTCCTTATCTATCAAAAATAAGACACAAAACCACCTGCTCCTCTTATCTATAGGTCACCCTATAAATCCACTGGACGAAACCAACATAGAATTATAAAAGGTAACAATAATACATTTTCATATTGTCCTATAAGAGCTTATGGTTGCTTTTATCATGGGAGAGGAGGTGGATGTAGTGCTTGAGGACACAATCCACCAAATACTGCTTCTGAATAATCTCATAATGATCAGAAATTGCACAGTCTGGAAATCTGCATTCCTTATGATTACATTCAGGCTTTTGAAGGTGGCTTTTACGTCAAGGAGTTCCAAAAATATATATCAAAAAAGTCTGGCACTAGTCTTCTTTCAAAATGTAGCACAGGATGTTCTTTGGCTGATAAAAGCATAGAATTCCAACTTGCAGCATGAACACAGAGCATTCAGATCAGTGCTGTAATGGGGCGGTACACAAAACAGGATGCTTTAAAGTCCTTACACATTCTTGATACAGTTGCATTTAATTTTTGTTGTACTTCTCAGCACACAGTGTGAAGCTCAAAAGGGAAAAACTTCAAGACTGCTTAAATAGCTGGTAGGGTGCGTCGCTGTTGTGACGTTAACTCTGGGTGCCAGACATCCACAATGAATATCAGCCGGTAAGCATTAGCATCCTGCCACACTTCATGTTCAAAAGAATCATCAAAAATGAGAATCTTCCCTTCTTCCCAGGATCTGAAAGAAAAAAACAAATTATATTTTACCTGCTGCTTATGAGAACTCAAAACTTTTCCAATTGTATCTACATCCTGGATGCAAAATCTACATAGCTGATCAAAGACACAAGGTTTATCTATGGCATCATACAGGTGGTCTTTGACTTATAACTATTTTTTTTTTTAATTTGATTTATATGCCGCCCTTCTCCGGAGACTCAGGGCGGCTTACAATGCGTTAAGCAATAGCCTTCATACTTTTGTATATTTATACAAAGTCAGCTTATTGCCCCCACAAACTGGGTCCTCATTTCACCTACCTTAGAAAGGATGGAAGGCTGAGTCAACCTTGAGCCTTGGAGAGATTCGAACCAGCAGTAAATTGCAGGAAGCTGTGTTAATAACAGGGTGCGTAGACCACTGTACTATCAAGGCTCTTGTTGTTTAATTTGTTTAATGATCGTTTGAACCTATGATAGCATTGAAAAAACTGACTTATGACCTGACACTTAACAACAGTTGCAGTGTCTCCATGGTCACTAATCAAAATTTGGGCACTTGGTAACCAAGATACATTTATTACAGAGTCCTGGGCTCACATGACTGTCATTCATTCACCTTCCCAGCTGACTTCCAACAAGCAAAGTCAATGGGGGACGTTGGATATTCTTAATGACTGTGTGATTCACTTAACAGCCATGGAAAAAGGGTCATAAAATCAGACATGATTCACTTAACAACTCCCTCACTTAAAAACAGAAGTTCCAGTCACAATTGTGGTTCTAAATCGAGGACTTCCTGTGGTTATTATTTCTTTCATTCTACCAGGTGAAAAACTGATAAGCTTGAAGGGAGCCAAGCTATTTATACTGACCCAGAGGCTTTCACAGAAAAATGTACTTTGTGTACTATTTCTCCAAAAGTAAAAAAATATCTGAAATAGTGTTTGCTACTATGTCTTACTCCTTGGTTTTGTTTTGTTTTTTCACTTCCAAATACTCAAGTCTCATCTACTGACACCTTATGGGATAATAGGTAAGGAAATAAAGGCAACATGGGAGTTGCACATGATAAAAAGGAAGGAACTATAACACTGTGTGAAATAATACCACATTTTGAAGTTGCTGAACATTCAAACAAGTATTATAGCGAGAACAGTTGAAAAAACCAATCAAGACTAGGCAAGACAGAATTATAAGGTATATTATAATTAATATAATATACTTAAATATATTTATAATATTATTAAAGATTTCAACTCATTTATATTATGTAGAGATGAACTTAGAGAGCAATGTTTCAGCTGTTAAGTGACATTGCACTGTCATAAAGATTACCTCTCATTTCTTGGGCTGGCTTTTAGTCATGAATTAACAAGAGTAACCCAAAAAGGAGAGGGTGGGGTTTTTTTGTGCCACTCGACACCAGGAATTTTGAGAGCCTAATACTGGCACCCTCATAATTTGACCAATCATATAAATTTGATTTGCCAGGAAGTAAACTCTGTGATCCATGCATATGCATGCGTGTCAAAACAGCCATGAAGATAGCTGCAACTGTGGGATTGAAATTCTACTCTTTTTTTAACATGCTTTGCAACTGTACATTTCACTTACAAAGGAACAGGGCTTCAATCACACTTTTGCAGCTTGCCATCTTGACTTTTTGATGTGTATCCCCTACTGTGTATCTCCCTACTTTTCATTGTGTCATCACAGCTTCTCAGAATATTCTTTACCTTCCCAACTCAATTTCACCTTTTTTAAAGGAGGGAAGGGGCGATCAGTGAGCACCCATACAAAAAAAAAAGTTTGGATTGCAGCCCCGTACTATGGCTTTGTTATAAACAATTATGAAGCTAAAAGCTGTGCTTTACTTTGCAACATCAATTTGTTTTTAATGGAAATAACTTCAAAATTATATGATACTCAGATGAAGCAGGAGCTTGGATGATGCCAAATTCAATGCCTATGTAGATATTGTTAAGTACAGATACCATAATATATATAGACCTGATTAGGTGAAGATAAGCAGGCTTCTAAGCATTATGTCCGTACTATTCTGTCTGATGGTTTTTTGCTAGCTTAGCTTACAAAGGAGATGTTTCTCTTGGATTCCATACCAGCTCTTAGTATCCTGGCTCTTGACACTTGACACGCTAGAAAAAAATGTGTTGTGAGGAGAAGGAAAGATACCTGGTTTCTTGAGCACACCGTATCCTGCAGCCTTCTTTAGGAATGACCAAGCCCAAATGCATTCTCAACCTACAGTTAGTCGGCCCTGTGTGAGGCCAGACGTGAGTCCCTGGGTGCATGACAGAATACTTGATCTGCAAAAAGATGTTCAGTTGATTTTCAAAAACTCATGTCAATTATGTCAACCTTCTAGAAATATAAATAAACTATATCTAGTTGAACCCAACCAAAATGAGTAAAGTTTATGTTAGGCTCCCTACCTGAAGTTTTGAAGCAAATTACTTGTGAACATGCTTTATGGATGAAAATGAATTTCCACCCTTCAGACCACACGATAGCATCTTATTAAAATTGAGTCTCCTAGAACTATTCTAATTCCATTTAATCAACATAGGCACATGCTTTTATGTATACTGTATGCCATTTAATGTCTATTGTGGATTATATTTTCACTTTAAAAATAAGGATATATATATATATATATATATATATATATATATATATATATATATGTAGGTCTTTGGTTATTCGTGAAATATCATATATATATATATATATATAATATATATATATATATATATATATATTCCAGTAGCTTTATTTGCATGTATTAATCATAGTTTAAAGAGACATAGTGTAAATGTCTTAATTTTTCCATTCATATAAGCAACAAGAAGGTTTAATTTCAAATTGCAAACTATATTTAGTGATTATACATTAAAAGATCAAGACAATTTCCAATCACACCTGATTCTAGGTGATTTCACAGCAGCAATATAGAAAAGATTTGCCTCTATTTTTTTTTTTTCAGTCCATCAACAGCTAGAATTGTGACCTGCCTCCAAGTGCAAATGAAGACCAACTCTAACCTCAACCAAGGATATTTAGGTGTTATTAATGGTTGTAGATGATTAAACAATCAATTTGTTAACTGATTTCTGAAGCTGAATCATATTGTTGACATTAAACATAATTCCAGAAGGAGACCAAAAGGCAGTTCATTCAAATCAGTTTATGGTCAGCACTTTTTATAAATAAACAATTATGTTAACATAATCCTATTTGAAATAAACTTGATTTTATCCATGGTATCTATAATGTAAAGGTTTGCATCTTTGAAATTAGTTGTATCTCCTTCTAAATCAGTCCTGTCAATCTGGCGGCCCGCGGGCCAGATGCGTCATGTGCTGGCCACACCCATCCCAGCTCGGCAAAGGTAAAAAAAGTCACGATACGTCATATGACATGATCGAGTTTGACACCTATGTTCTAGATCAATTGTAATTATTGACAACTGTGATGGACAGTTACTGTTCAGTTTTCAATCATAGACTATGTAGAAAAACAAACATAATTGCATCATTTGTCTATAACAAATATCATGCTGACTCACTCATAAACATTCAGTAAAGGTAAATTAGAAAGGCAGAGATTTTATTTTAGCATTTGCCCCAGGCAAAATCAATTAATAATTATTTTTCTTCTTAATATTTTTGTAAGTTATACTTACAAGTCAAAGTAACACATACAGTATACATCAACATCCACTCCCCACTATGTATAAGCACTGTAAATATATCTTGAAATTTTTTATTTATTCAATTTGTATAGCCACCCATCTCAAATACTGTACATGATTCTGGTTGAACAGTTGAAAGTAACTCCCAGTCATATAATTAGCAGCTGAGTAAAAATAAATCTACCACCGTCAAATCAACCTAAGAGGCTCTGCCACACATCTGGATCCTTGATGACAAAACCATGTCTTTAAGACCACCATTAGATTGAGGATCTAATTCTCAAGGGGGATTTGAAGGGCAGCATGTGATTCAGAGCACACATTTACAAATGTAGCAACTAAAAGCAGCTGATATTCCTCACTAACTTGGCTGTCTTCTGCAGTGAATATGCAATCGCAGGAAAAGACCTCTTTGCTTTAAGATGTTCAGAACAGGTGCTATATGCAGGCCCACATGGCCTCTGAATCACACTTTGCCCTTTGAAGTTGGATAGTTGCCCAATATATGTGGATGCTTCTTCCTATCTATCTATGGACCTGCTCTACAAACCAGACAGTACCTGCCCTCTTCGGCATCCAGTGGCTTCTGAGAAACGTTCTAATAAGGCACATGATTTTGGAACACTGTTGCAGGCATTCTCATTTTTTCTTCCTAGAGTGAAAGAGGAAAAATATAGTTTAAGCATAGGTAATCTGAATTTCACACCCCCACATCTAAGTATAGTCATACAGGGGATTTGAAAATGTCAGCTCAGTAAGCGCTTGAAAGAGATTTAAAAGGGTAAATCATCCAAAAATCCAGTGGTGATTAACTCTAATCGAATTGGCCTTCGTACCTAAATATAGACGTGGAATACTTTTGTATTTCTTTTTATACAGAATGTAACTCATACTCATTACAGTTAGCAACCATCTAAAACAGAGATGGCCAACTTTTTTTCTTTGAAAATAATTTTGCTTAGGCCCAGATTTAATACTAGGCTGTCTACTACTTTATATGATATGTCATGATATCTATGGATGTTTCATAATAAATTTTCACTGATCCCAGAGAAAGTCATTGCATACTCCTTCACATACTCCAACTTTTATTGATTTGAGAGGGAAGCATTGTGGAGCTATTTGAATATTGCATAAAATCTAATTGTAGTTTCATGACTATAGATAAGAACAAAGTTTCCTGAGTGACTTTGGTCCAGTTATGTTCTCCCTTCCATGGTCTCTCTTGCCGCCTAATTTGCCTTGGTGTTGTGAAAGAGGATAATGTTCAGTTCCCTAACGAAATCCAAAGAAGGAGTTCATAAAAATATAAGTGAAATTCGGTGTCTTTTTATAACAGTGGTGATGGGCTCATGATTTGTGGAACATTAATCTTCTAAAAGAATATTATGACCAACTAAAAGAAAGTTTTTATTTTAAGTAAAGGTACAGAAATAAAAGCAATTTTATTATTTTCCAGCACCTCAAAATGTCTTATACATCATCCCATTTTTTCATTACCCTTCTGGGTTTATTGCCTCATTTTAATTATAAATGACAGAATTGCATTCACTTGTAAGAAGAAAAGATCTCTTTTTTTGCCAGCGCACGTTTCCTCAGGCCACTTTGTAATCTGTGAACCATCCATTTTGTTAGGTATAAACCAAGTATAAGCTTTCTACGTAAGAGAAATGCAAAACTATACTTTGCAGATAAATGCAGAAATGAAAATGAAAAAAAAAAAAATAGAGCACCTTTTAAATATTTTTAAAGCTACATAAAGTAGCACACTAAAAATACAGAAACAATTCTGGGAAGTGCCCCAAAGCCATTCAGTTTTGTCCTCTTTCTCACTCCCCTGCCTCTCCTCTTCAAACATGAAACAAGAATCCACTACCACTTTCAAGTGGAACTCTTTATTTTACTTAGACTTTGATAAAACATTAAAAAAAGAAAATGTTTCCTTTTATGTGAGTCTTTCCAAGAGCAAAAATAATTTACATGTGGCTCATGAACAGATTTCCAGCCCGGCAATGACCAGGCTTTTACCTGTTTAGCTTATATTAAGTATGGCCGTGCACACTTCAAAAACAATTTAGAAGTTCTTCTGAATTATGACTATTAATGTAGTAATGTTTTTCTCCAGGCTTGGGTGAAAGCCTGAAAGTAAAAAGACCATCTTCTTTAGGGATAGGGGTGCTGTTTTTGTATTTGTGATCAGTCTGATATAACCCTTCTCAATCATTTAAAGTGTCACAGTTCTAACATTAAGTCCCCCAAAGTACATTCTCCAAAAGCCAGAAACATGGCTGCACATTATTCAACTTCAGAAAAATAAATCAAAATCCAGTCACACAATCAGTTAAATGGGTCAGTAGCTGGGTAATTCCTTTACAATGCGGCTTTGAATGTAATTGGAACCTAAGTTTTGTTCAGTGAACAGGGATGAGTTTGCACATGTGGAAAGGATATTCTCATTTTCCTCTTCCCATTAATATGTTTGTTTCACATGTTTAGATCCTCCAAGGACATGGAAAACTCTTCTTGGAAGAAGGAGCTTTGATAATAGCCCTTCTATTTTACATGAAAAACAATTAAGAGTTCAAATCATTACATTTGTTCTGTTATGCATATTTTATTAGCTCTGAAAGGAAATACTAAATATAATATGCTATATTTCACCCCAAAAAATAACTTGGTTAGGTAGCTGTTCATGTAGTTGTATTCCAGTTCTTCTATTTGGAAATTCCTGTTTGGCTCTTTATGTGCTAGTACACCCAAACTTTGTCAATACAATACAAGGAGATTTTAAATGAAGGAGGGGAACTAAAATCTAGAAAAGAATTACATGATGAAGGGGTAGAATTGGAATGGTGGGCATATCTAAAGATCAAATCACGCTATATGAAGGATAAAAAGGAATGGGGTATTAAGAAAGAATTGATGGCGCTAGATAAAATCTTATTAGGAACGAACAAAAAGGCAATAAAGAAAATTTATCAGTACCTATTGGAATATAAAATGGCAGAAGAACAAGTGAAGGAAACTATGGTAATGTGGGCCCAAAATTTTGGTTAAAATATTAATATGGATAATTGGCAGGATCTATGGGAGAGAAACAGGAAACTAACGTTAGCCACTGCGTACAAAGAAAATTTGTATAAAATGTTCTATAGGTGGCATCTCCCGCCCACAAGATTAGCGAAAATGAACAGGAACTTATCACCACAATGTTGGAAATGCAATTTAGTATCAGGATCTTTCTATCATATGTGGTGGTTATGTAAAAAAGGGAGTTTTGGCGCCAGATTAAGGCATGGTTGGAGGAGATAGAACAAAACATAACCAGAATTATTCCTATTAGGAATTACAAAAGAGAAATATAGCAAAGAACTGATATACTTAATGCTGCATGTGATAACAGCAGCAAGGCTGGTTTATGTGCAATACTGGAAAAAGGAAGAAAACCCCCTGGAAGAAGTAATAATAATGAAGATCTTGACATGTGCAGAAATGGATAGGCTGACACTAGAACTCAAAAACAAGGATGAGACAGAATACTATAAAATCTGGAATAAAATGTACCAATGGTTGGAAAGGAGAAAAGGAGTTGGAACAAAAAAGATTTAGGGCTTGTAGAATTAATACTGGATAATATTTAGACAAATATGTAAATGAGAACAAGGGATATGCATATAAGAACAAAGTAGCAATGTATGTCAAATAGTAATAATATTTGTTGTTATGTTAAAAATATGTATGGATATGACAAGACCAGGATGGTCACACTGTGTCCAATGTTTTTAATGTTTATTTAATAAAAAACTTTAAAAAAATAATAACAATTCAAACATTATCTTCTTTTTCTGTTTTTCAATGCCTAACTTTCACAGCTAATCATTAGCATAGCTGGAAAGACTACTATTTTAAGTTTTCTGATCTTTATTGCACTAAAAGAATCCTTATTTTTCATTACCTTGTTTTTCATTGCCTTCTTTTCTAGTACGAGACTGTATTTTTCCTTAACACGTTTCATTTTTTAAAATCTTTATCCAAGCCTCCCAGAATTGAATTATCTATTTTTTTGACTTCTTCATTAATTAAGCTGCTTGGCATTATGTTTCTCCCTAATATTTAATATTAACCCAGATATTTCATTTTCCATTTTTATATCCCTAACATAAGATAAAGGCTTTGATGCCTCCTTTTATTTAACAAAATTGAATTATCTGCATATTTCAGAATATTAACGTTTCAGCCTCTCAATTATTTTCAATTATTGGTTTTTGAGCTTAGGAAATTCCTGGATGTCAATCCATATCTATGATGGCTTATTTTGCTTCTGAAATGTGATATATTGTTCAATATGTAATAGTCCATTTCTGTTTTAGAATCCTTCATGAGGGCTTTCATTGTGAGCAGTATATTTCCTGTAGTTATATTTTGAAACTCAAAATATTAATTAACCCTGTATAGCAGATCATATATTATTTTTTATTTCACTACATATAACTCATAACAGTAATATATTATCAAGCATCCATGCCAACTTACTTTATGCAGGCAAAGCCACTAGACAATTTAAAAAGTGGGAATAGACATAAGCGTACAAAAATCCCTTTAGTTAAACATTGGTAAGTATATCAGCACACTATTTCAGACTTTTCCTTTTGGTCTTCCTTTTGGGTCCACATCAGGGGTGAAATCCAGCAGGTTCTGACAGGTTATGGAGAACTGGTAGCGGAAATTTTGAGTAGTTTGGAGAACCGGCAAATACCACCTCTGGCTGGCCCCAGAGAGGGGTGGGAATGGAGATTTTGCAGTATCCTTCCCCTGCCACTCCCACCAAGCCACGCCCACAGAACCAGTAGTAAAAAAAATTGAATTTCACCACTGGTCCACATCAGTATGTACAGAAAATGTTCTTCTTTACACATTATGGATATTAAGATTAAGATGTTTGGTCTCTAAAAGCATTAATGAAGACTTCAGTTTGAGAATTACTGTGATCATTTTGTTATTCAATATTTAAATGTTTAGATATATTATTTATTTTTGACATTTAGAGTTTAGCCCTGTAATTCTTAAAATTATTTTATTACGTGCAGGATTATTTTTGAACAATCTTTGTACTCCATTTCCAGAAATTGCACCCATGCTGTACATGAATTGTTCTTCTCTTTGTGTAATTAATGAGCCATTACTTAGTTTGAGTGTATCTTTGCTTTAAATGTCATTTTATAGCACTCAGTGGATTATATTATTGCTTTTAAATCAGTGGCTCATCACGGGAAATGTTACATATGTTTGTTTAATTTTTAGAACAGAGCTGTATGTTTATATACTTGTGTAATTGGGAACATTTTTATATTATTTCCAAGAATGGAGTAATAGTATGTGCTATTAATTTTATTTTGCTAAACTCCTCTAATTTACTTGGACTTACTGAGACATACAGGTATATAAGGAAACTTTTGTTTCTGTTTTAATTTAATTGTGTTTTCCTTTTTAGCTTTTGCTTTAGTTTATAAAATTCCATCATCATCCCTTTTCTATTCCAGAGGTATCTAGTGTTTTATTTCCATGAGTTACTGTGCTATTTATGTGTTTTATAACATTGACAGATATATTGTAAAGAAGCAAATGCAAAACTCTTTCTTTTATTCTCTTGATTATTAATTCTAAATTAGCTACCTGACCGTTTGCATTTTTTGAAACTTATCTGCTTTTGGAATTCACTCCATATACTGCTCCATTTTTGTTTGTAAGAACTTAGTCAAAACTTTCCTTATGTGTAAAAATTATTGACATTCTCCTGCAATTTCTTTCTTGAGTATAGCTATATGCATTATGTTGTAATCTCTAGGCCCGTGATGGCGAACCTATGGCATGCGTGCCACAGGTGGCATGTGGAGCCATATCAGTGGGCATGCTAGCGTTGCCCTAGCTCAGCTCCAGCACGCATGCGCACACCAGCCAGCTGATTTTCAGGCTTTCTGGGCCCACCGGAAGTTTGGAAACAGGCTGTTTCTGGCCTCCGGAGTGCCTCTGGGGGTGTGGGGAAGGCCGTTTTCGCCCTCCCCAGGGGCCAAGAAAGCCTCTGGAGCCTGGAGAGGGTGAAAAACGGGCTTACCGGGCCCACCGGTAACTTTTTTGCTGTTGCATGCCAAAAGTGGGAGGACCGGGGGGGTCATGTGCACATGCGCGGGGGTGGGGTGGGGCGCACAGCGGGCATTGAATTATGGGTGTGGGCATGCGTGTGTGCGACCCCCCCACCCTCCCACCACTTTTGGTACACAACGGCAAAAAGGTTAGTCATCACTGCTCTAGGCCATACAATATTTTTTCCATATTTATAGAAACATAGCTATATACAGTTTAACTCCCTTCTGCAGCTTTAAACAATTAACAGATACTTCATCAGTATCTCATATTTCCTATTTGGCTTGGTTTATTACTGTAGACCTCTCTAGAGAAGTTAGTTCCTGAATAAATTATCTTTCTCTGCAACAGTTTTGGTAATTTTATAATCATATTTGTAGAGGAACTCAGTATAGTCTTTCTATTTCCCCCCCAACTTTTAATATATTTAATTTTATTTGCCTCTATTTCATCTCTTACATGATTAAGTATTTCTGTCTTACATAGATAGTTGGTAGAAGCCATAATCAAATTAAAATTACATTGTATTTATGACAGGGGTCCTCAACCCCTGGTCTGTGGACTGGTACCATGTTTCCCCGAAAATAAGATCCTGTCATATATTTTTTTGAACCCTGAAATAAGCGCTTGGCCTTATTGCCATGCACTCAAAAGCCCAATTGGGCTTATTATCAGGGGATGTCTTATTTGGGGGAAAACAGGGTATTGGCCCATGTTCTATTGGGAAGTGGGCTGTGCAAGCAGCAAGCAAGTGCGCGATACTCCATTTGTGCATATGCTGGATTAGGTTGCATATGTGACACCATTCCCCCCCACCCACTGCCACTGCCAGAGGACTGCTGATTTATGACATGAGTAGATAGGGTTCGCCTCAATCTATGTTACCTTAGCTATAAATTTTCCTGCAAATTTTTATATCTTCTTAAACGTATTTTATAACCATTTTCTTATTATTGTCCTAATTTTGTTGACAGTGATTGAGAGCATGCCAGTGATCGAGAGCTTAGTTCTGAGGTTTTTTTATGAAATGGTAAATATTTATGGTTTGTTATTTATTTTAAATATTCTCTACATAAGAACAACTACGCTAAGAATAATAAGAATAATAATTAATATGCTATGAATCAGTTTGCAGTTATGTAAATGTAAAAACCTTCATGAAATCATGAATATTTTAATGATATTGTTCTCTTTTTGGGAATAATTAAAAATATCTCCTTAAATTGAATAAGAACTAATAGTAAAAATGAAAGAAAAGAGAGTTTTTGCTCAAGTCTAATAATAATGGTAAGAGCAGCATGGATTCATGACGAGCATCTTTCAATCATCATCATCATCATCATCATCATCATCATCATCATCATCATCATCATTTGTGGCTGGGCTGGACGGCTATGGGGTGCAGTCCCTATGGTTATGGGAATGCCAGTCTTCAGACTGGTAGTGGCTTAGCCACCATGAACTAACTCAGGTATCTACCATCACCAATGATAAGAAATCAACAAAATTCCATACCAGACCGGTCATTATCCGGATCAACAAGGACTGCATCAGGTGCTAGGGCTCCTGGGCATCTGCCAAAAAATGGCTACAGGGCTCAGTTGCTACTGCTGGGGAACCAGGGCGTGCAACTGTAAAGCGACTGGGACAAAAGCACAGAACTTGGACAACCAAAAAAGTGATGCCCATTGTCATCGGGGCACTTGGTACCATGTCCAAGAATTTTACAAAACACATCAAGAAATTGCAGCTTCCTGCAATAACACCAGCGGAACTACAAAAAACTGTGCTACTCGGAACATCATATTTTTTAAGAAGATACTTGATTGATACCTAGGACACTGGTAGTAACCCATATCCACCATTAGCACCAGTCAATTGTATTTGTGACACATTGTTAAATGTTCAGTTGACTGAGTTCCATGTTTAATGAATAAAAGAGATGATGATGATGATGATGATGATGATGATGATGATGATGATGGCTGACACTTCAATTTTCATTATCCTGATCTTTAGCATCACAAAACATATTTCCCCTTTAACATTTTAGTTGCATTCTTTTGTTAGCATGGAAAGGAAACAATGGAACAGACAAGAAAAGTAATGAGTTGTGTACCTTGCTGCCACAGAGTAAACTGGCTCCAGTCACCCTTTTCTCGTAAATTTTCATCTTCTGGAAGAAAGAGGCCCTTGCTTCTATCCATTACAGCAAGTCCTTCATCCCGGATCACCTTCCAGTTTTTTTCTAAGGACTAATAGGACAAAATCATGTACATTGCATATTCTTTTAGCTATTTCTCCTCAAAAATAAATATAGCCTCATCAGTCAAAAAGCCTCCCATAGTTTCTCCTTTTCAATTATCTTTGTAGCATAACTATTCCAATAATATCAAACACTTACCAGAATGGTTTCCACTTTTATTTGCTTTTGATTTACCTAAGGTAGGGCTACTTTGTGGACAATCCAATAATACGATAATCATTCAAATTTATGTACTAACCGCTGATGCAGAGGAGGACTTTATGATCAAGTCCAATCTGAAATCAACAGAACATGCAAGCAAGATGTGCTGGTTGTGATTGGTAATTGGAAAGCCAAAGGTGGAAACATGAAAGAGGAAAACGTAGTTGGATTGTATGGTTTATGAAACTGATAAAACAAAATGAATATACTTAACAGGAAAATGAAATGAAGCAGGAGCCTGACATACTAAATTATGCCACTCTAGTGATTTCTTTATAGCTAATATTGTCTTCAAAAGAATCAAAACTATTGCCTCTAAAGAGGGATTTCTTCAGATGGACTTTATAGAAATCAAATCTACTATATTCTTGCTAAAAGAAGGTAGAGAAGTCCATTTATAGCATCAAATGCCTTGCCAAGTACTGACTGTGGAAAAGATCATGAGCTAGAAAGTAAAAAAAAAAAAGTCTTTAGTGATGGGGGTGCTGTTCTTGTATTTGTGATCAGTCTGATATAATTCTTCTCAATCATTTGTCACAGCTCTAACATTAAGTGCTATTAAGTGCTCCAAAGTTCATTCTCCAAAAGCCAGAAACATGGCTGCACATTATTCAACTTCAGAAAAATAAATCAAGATCCAGGCACACAATCAGTTAAGTGGGCCAGTAGCCGGGCAACTCCTTCACAATGTGGCTTTGAATGTAGTTGGAACCTAAGTTTTGTTCAGTGAACAGGGATGAGTTTGCATACGTGGAAGAGATATTCTCATTTTCTTCTTCCCGTTAATACCTTTGTTTCACATGTTTAGATCCTCCAAGGTCATGGAAAACTCTTCTTGGAAGAAGGAGCTTTGGTAATAGCCCTTCTCTTTTACATGAAGAACAATTAAGAGTTCAAATCATTACATTTGTTCTATTATGCACATTTTATTAGCTCTGAAAGGAAAGACTAAATATAATATGCTATATTTCACCCAAATAAAAAACTCAGTTAGATAGATGTTCATGGAGTTGTATTTCAGTTCTTGTGGTTGCATGAGGAAACGATCAATTTGTCCAGACTTTTGAAGTTTTTCTAAAAAAAAAAATTCTGTGTTCTTTTGTTCCCAACCATCCACCTTATTACTGTCTTCTTCTTTAGCCTTGACAAGAATAACCTTGCATGTATCACATGCCTACAGTATGTGAATTTCTTCTTTCTAATCTCAAGGGATCATTGAGCCTTTATTTGGTCTATAACTCAATGTTCTTGGAATCTGATATTCTTAGTAACCTTCTTCACACCAATAATTCAAACATTATCTTCTTTTTCTGTTTTCCAATGCCTAAGTTACTCAGCTAATCATTAGCATAGCTGGAAAGACCACTATTTTAAGTTTTCTGATCTTTATTGCACTAAAAGAATCCTTATTTTTCATTACCTTGCTTGTCATTGTCTTCTTTTCTAGGACTAGACTGTATTTTTCCTGAACATGTTACATGGCCAAGTACTGACTGTGGATAAGATCATGAACTGCAAGAACAGACTTAATCATAATGAGTGGCACCTAGCTCAACAGTAGAAATTGTGAGGAGGATCTTGGAGTCCTAGTGAACAATCACTTAAATATGAGCCAGCAGTGTGCAGCAGCTATCAAAAAAGCCAATGCAGTACCAGGCTACAAAAATGATTAGGGGACTGGAGGCTAAAACATATGAAGAACAGTTGCAGGAATTGGGTATTTCTAGTTTAATCAGAGTGAAAAGCAGGATTCAGAGTGACATGATAGCAATGTTCCCATATTTAAGGGGCTACCACAAAGAAGAAGAGAAGGAAGAAAAGGCAGAACAAGAATTAATGGATGGAAACTAATCAAGGAGAGTACCAACCTAGAACTAGAGAAAAATTATTGACAGTTAGAACAATTAATCAGTGGGACAACTTGCCTCCAGAAGTTGTGAATGAAGTTGTGGAGGTTTTTAAGAAGAGGTTGGACAGCCATTTGTCTGAAATGGGATAGGGTCTCCTGCTTGAGACCTCAAGATCCCTTCCAACTCTGTTATTCTATTACTGAAAACAGAATAACAGAGTTGGAAGGGACCTTGGAGGTCTTCTAGTCCAACTCCCTGCTTAAGCAAGAAACCCTACACCACTTCAGACAAATGGTTATCCAATATCTTCTTAAAAACTTCCAGAAGTTGTGAATGTTGGAGCATTCACAACTTCTCGAGGCAAGTTGTTCCACTTATTAATTGTTCTGTCAGGAAATTTCTCCTTAGTTCTAGGTTGCTTCTCTCCTTGATTAGTTTCCACCTATTGCTTCTTGTCCTGCCTTCAGATGCTTTGCAGAATTGCTTGACTCCCTCTTCTTTGTGGCAGCCCCTGAGATATTGGAACACTGCTCTCATGTCACCCTTAATCCTTCTTTTCATTAAACTAGACATACCCAGTTCCTGCAGCCGTTCGTCATATGTTTTAGCCTCCAGTCTCCTAATCATCTTTGTTGCTCTTCTTTGCACTCTTTCTAGAGTTTCCATATCTTTTTTACACTGTGGTGACCAAAACTGGATACAGTATTCCAAGTGTGGCCTTACCAAGGCATTATAAAGTGGTATTAACACGTCACGTGATCTTGATTCTATCCCTCCGTTTATGTAGCCTAGAACCATGTTGGCTTTTTTGGCAGCTGCTGCACCAGGTACCACTGATTAAGATTTAGTCTGTCCATGTGTTTAAATAGTGTGCTGACTGTTTAAATCCACCAATAGCTATTACTAATTATTGACTTGTTGGAACAAATGACACAGTCCACTCATGGGGCTGTTCATACCAAAAAGGTATTGGAGGGAAAGATAAAGGAGACTAATTTCATCATAAAAAGCATGTCTTAGGAACATAAAGTTATTAGTTATAGAAATGGTACAAATGAAATTGGAAAGACTGATGCTGCTTTTTTGCAAAACTGCAACTGATGAAGTGATACACTTGCTAATTTAGATTGCACGAACAACAAACTTGCCTAAATTTCTTGGCGTTAAAAATAGCTGAAGTAGAAGCATGAAACCTTTTCAAAATTAATGAAAACATTATCTTTATTAAGCTTGTTATTATTCTGCTATACCACATTTTGCTTGGAGTAAAAACAAAGCTCTTTATTAGTATTATTTTTTTGTTCAAAAATTGTAATAATTTTACAGAGCATTAACATGCAAAATATGATAGTTACAAATACTCTTTTCTAATGACTCCACAACTTCATTATTTTATGATTCCTTAGGCAATCTTCCAACTGTATTAGCTATTTTAAGCACCCGAACATCAATTCAGCAAAATAGATATTTGCTGCAGCAAAAGCTTTTGCTGTTAGCCATACAAAGCAATAGTAATAGCAATAGCACTTAGACTTACATGCCATTTCACAGCATTTTACAGTCCTCTCTAAGCGGTTTACAGAGTCAGTATATTTCTCCCAACAATCTGGGTCCCCAGTTTACCGACCTCAGAAGGATGGAAAGCTGAGTCAACCTTGAACCCATCAGGATCGAACTTCTGTAGTGAGCAGTGACTTAGCCTGCAGTACCGCATTCTAACCATTGCGCCACCATGGCTAGATAAAATCAGTTACCAGTGTTGTTCAAAGAATAAACAGAAGCATCTCTAGCAGAGGACCTTCCAAGCTCTGCTTGAATACATGAATGAAAATAAAGCTACCTACTGAACAATTTTAATGTAAATCTGTGACAGGAGATGGAGATGCTTAAGAGCATTTTCAAACAGTCATAGGCAATTACTTACAGAGGCTAGTGCAGAAGAGGGCTGAGGTTGTATTTCATTAATAGAAATTGAATATCTATTGAATTGAATTGAATTCATATTCAACCAATGTTTTCAGAAATGATGGAAGACTATCTTGTTCCACTGATATTTTTTTTTGTCTTTGTGAGAATTATTCTCTTGTGTTTTATGTTTGTTTGTGTATGCATCCTTTTTTTTTTGTCATGTAAAACACCTGGAAAAGGGGATATGAAAGCTATCTATAATATAAAGTCACTTATCCTATGCAAGAAGAATAAGTAGGAGGGGAGACAGACTTCTTAAAGGGTCTGGTTTCCCCACTCCCCCCCATACCTCCCTGCCCCAAAGGATTTTGACCCTTTGCACTGATAAAGCTGGGTGTAGATATTTATGTTGTTCATAAAATAGCATGGACATTCAAAGCCCAGGCTTTTCCAAATAGTTGTTGCAAATGCAGCATCTCAGTTTCCAATAAATCTTTATATATTTGTACGAGTAGGCAAAAATGGATACGCAGCTACTGGAGATCACTACACCTGCAAGCTTTCGAACACACTAGCCATATTAGATATGCATCTAAGTGAGTGGCTACGCCACCTGAGTGGCATAGGAGGCTAATGCCTCCTACTAAGGCAACATTTAACATGCAGTTGCCTGCAATTACTGCGAGTTCAATTCTCACCAGGCTCAAGGTTGACTCAGCCTTCCATCCTTTCTAAGGTGGGTAAAATGAGGACCCGGTTTGTGGGGGCAATAAGCTGACTTTGTATAAAAAATACAAAAGTATGAAGGCTATTGCTTAACGCATTGTAAGCCGCCCTGAGTCTCCGGAGAAGGGTGGCATATAAAAATAAAATTTTAAAAAAAGTAATTAATTAATTATCCTTACAAAAAATAAGTTATTCCTATAACTATTCCCTGAAAAAAACAGGAGGCTTACATATACCTTAAGTTAAAAGATATTAATTTACCAGAATGCCAGGCAATTTTCCAAAGTATGATTAAGGAAGATTCACTAAGTAAACTGTTGGTCACTCTTAGAAGTATTGGTTCTGTCTTACCATATTTTTCTACATGGAAATATTAGATACAATATAGGTGCCATATTATGCTTAAACCCAAGCATTAAAGCTTCCAAAACAAAGGGTTCTATTTAATCCAAAGAACTATCAGCCCTTTCCCTATTTTCATTAAAATGAAATGAAACTAATAACTGTAAATAGAAGGTGTATTATGCATTAGGGAACAACCTATGGTGGTAGATACTGTGGAAAGGAGCTTTTGGGTTTTTTTCCTTTCATAAACAACATTCCAACAGGACTAAATGGAGATGCTGGAGAACCACAGTGAGTAACATTCAGGACAGAAAAACAAATGCATTTCTGTCTCTGATATTTTTCCTGCCACTAGAAGGACAGGATTTGTTCTGGCCTCACAGGACATCTGAGTTGCTGCTGTAATAAATCCTGTGATCATAAATCCAGTCCAACTTCAAAATACAAAAGTGAGCTCATTGGGAAAGCAGCATCTGAAGGACTAAGCAAGTGGAAAAATCTGGAGCTGAGTCAAATTCAAATGATGGAGATGCTAGCTGTGGTCAGACTTCATTTCCTTCAATACTAGCCCTGCCTGATTTAACTATTTTGCAGCATTTCTGAGCATTCCTACACATCTGTTTTTCTGCAGCCAGCAGGATTCTCTAACACTGTGTTGATTGTAATAGGAAGATTTTTTTAAAAAAAACAATCACAGTCCCTATTCAGATAGAATTTAATGTGTATATGCAAATTAAGTTCTCCTTAACTTTCACAAGGCAATCTGTTGAAAGCATCAGCTAAAAACAATAAGGAACTATTTCTAATATAAAAGAAAATTCTCTCCTAACATTTAAATATATCTTGCTCATGAAAATCAGATCGTTTTGTTTTTAAATGACTGCATGAAGAGCTATCAGAAAGCTAATACTCATGTTAATTTTATTAGGACACAACACTACCTAAAACAAAAACAAAAATAGTGACTAGTAATGTCTCTCCTATAATTTGACTTTGATCATCTTTCCTAATTCAGTGTTCTCGTAAGTGTTTTGGGATTACAAGTTCAGAATTTCCTATTTAGGACAGTGCATTTTTGAAAGTGATTAAGAAACAAAAGTACTTCAGGCGTTGCAAGACCATAAAGAATGTAGCTTTCTTCTCCCAAATAATGTGACCATAGTTTTGTTACTAATACAGATGACTGAACCAGTTCCAGGTAAGCCTGTCCTAGATGTACATCAAGAATAAAACTTCCACCAAATGATATTCTAAATGTAAGATTAATACTAGAGCAAATAAATTGTAGTTAAGGAACAGCAGTGTAGTAATCATAAATACTTTTCTCATCTATCGCCAAGGTCTACAAATATTGCCAAGTTATTTCAATCTAGCCTGATTTCTCCATTTATCCAGCTGGCCTAATATTACCTATCATATGCAATTAAATGTCCCACTGAAACCTCTAAGAGTTATGAGAGCATGAGAAAACATAGATTGGCCTGTTATCCACTAATTACAACACTCATCAATTAAAGGCTTGCCTCCTAGTAATTAGTGTGAATTATTGAGTTACAGTAGCTATCTTTGTCTATCCAACTCATGGGCCAGCAATGCAATTCATTGTGTTTGCTACTTAACATACTTATGCAATGTAATGCTTCCACTACATTGTTGTAAAGCATTTTGAACTAGGCTGAAATAATTTAACTTCTAGTGAAGAAAGAAAATAATTTTTATCAGTTATAAGGGAGTCTTGCCTGGGGCAGTCTGATATTTTGAATTATTCAGGAATAGAACTACAGTAGTGAGAAATTAATTCACTCTCATTTTAGTGCAAACCTATGTAACTAGATTCTAAATCAAACTGTAATTATCTTCTTTATTTATATCTTTGGCAATGTAGCATAAGAGAGCCGTTTGGTGCACTGATTAAGAGTAGAAACTGTGAGTTCTACTTCTGCCTTAGGCACAAAGTCAGCTGGGTGATCTTAGGCCAGTTACTCTGTCTGTTATGGTCCCATTGGAGCCTGGATCCAAGGAGGAGGACGAGACAGAGCTAGGGCCGATGGAAGAATGACCGGAGGAGCAGGACGAGGCAATCCCAGGTCCCTCGGTCCTGGGAAGGGTTGCCAGTGAGGGAGAGGGGGTGCAGGATGACCAGGTGAGGGGTGATAACAAGGCAGGCAGAAGAATAGAGGAGAGTTGAAGCTCTGGCAATGAGCAATAACCTTTTCCCTCTGATCCCCAAGCTTGGAGAATGGAGAGGAAGCAGGATCAGTGCAGGGCAACCCAATGACTCAGGACGAGGGCTCCCTGCCCCTCTTCACAGGGCTCACCTGGGGAACGAGATTTAGGGAGATGCCGTTGGGAGGGGGAGTTGTCGGAAACAAGCGCTGCTTTTTTCCAATCTCACGTGTTGTTACTGATGTCTGGATACTTTGCTGTCCTTGTCTTGCTTGCCTTGTATGCCATGCTGGCCTTGCTTGCCTGGCCTGGCTCAGTGCGAGGTCGCAGTGACACAGTTATACTCCAGGTGGTGCTGCAGTCCCAGGGAACTCTTCCTGTGACAAGGACTCTCTGAAACCAAATTCCTTGAACTGTAGCTACTCTCAGTACTGTACTGCTCCTCTGGACTAATAGCAGCCAGGACCTATTGGAGGTGCGTATTTAGAGGTTGGCTCCTGGACTTGAATGGTGGGACTTTTGGGGTAAAGTTGGAACAATAAAGGGGAGTTAAGCTTTTGCTCTGGCTGTGTTGTTTCCATGCCCAGCTCCAGGTCATCACACTCTCTTTTGCCCTAAGAAGGAAGCAATGGCAAACCATTTCCAAAAAGCCTCACCAAAAAAATTCTAAGGACTAGTCTGGACGGAGAGTAGGAGCCAAAAACAGACTAAAAAAAGTGGTCTAGTTAACTGACCATGTTCATTAGTAAAAGTAACAAACAGAATACATTTTATTAATATTTTTTTCTCTAAAAATCTACTTCTATGTTTGGATTTATAAGGGGTTACATACAAAGTTACATTTCTTAGAGGACCTCCTGGCTTAGGCTGTGGATGCAGGAGGCAGATGGAAAGGAGATTCATCCAAGGAGAAATATGCACACAATATATACACATTTCTTAGTTTTTTTTAAAAATCACAGATTAAGCAGAAATTAAATGAGACAAAACAAAAATAGAAATAAAAAATTGAGGCTAGGATAGAAGCCAGAACTGACATACTCATTCAATTCTGTTTAGAAGTACATTCCATTATGTACATTGGTCTTATTCTAAAATATACAAAGCAGCAATTTTAAAATCAACTTAGCATAATGTTTCTATAGAAAAAGGAAGAGCAACATTGCGCACCTTGATCAGTTCTGTATAACCAGTTTCCTTTGCTGTCCACCATGGCTGAGCTTTTAAGCCCTTGACATTATACAGAGAACGCTGCCAGACAGATGCAAAGTGACCCCGTTGGTACCCAAGTTCATACCACTTGTATGCCTAGAAGATTGAAATTTGACAGCATATTTTTCAGTTGTTGCGTTTCAACGGAAAAAGTAAGTTAATGAGAAATATAATAATTTAGTCATTATTTCCGGCTTTCTGCTACTTATTTTTCCACACATTAATGAAATATTAATATTAGTTATTAAAATTGAAATTATAATGTTGCGCATTAGAGCAGAAGAACATTTACTCCACTCTATTGTTTGTCCACATAATCCATTTTTGAAATTACTGTGATTTATAAGAAAGCAATGTTAATCTGGCTTGGAGAAATGTTATTTTTACAAAATTAGTTCCAAATTATTACTGTAGTTCATATTCCCAAAATTTTATAATATCACTTTAACTGTCATTATATTTAACGAGTGTTTATATAACTGTATGAGTCAACTATGAATGAATGAACTTTTCCTTTGAGGCATTGATGTAATAAATCCATGATCATATATAGAAGCTATTGTTACCCATGAACTAGCAGAAATACAGTGCAAAGAAAGGAACCAGGACTCAAAAAAATCCAATGTCTGTCATTGATGATCTGTAGCCAGGAGGAAATAAAAGAGGAAAGAGAAATTCCTGCATTGTGGCCTCTAATTCTATTTGGAATAAAGAATAATGAAAAGTGAGATGATTTCCTCATTCTCCTGTTCAATACGTCTATACCCACATCTCCCCCAAAATTCCCTTATTTGCAACAATCCATACTTCCTACACCTCATAATGTTTTTGAGAGCTCTCTGTATCTTTTATGCCTTCTCTTCTGGCAAAACAAAGACAAGCAATACTCTGTTCTGAATAATGCTGTCAGGACCAAAAGAATTAATAGCAGTTGTCTGGATTGACATCAAATATAAGAACTCCTTCATGTGTATTTAACTGAAATGTCAAGCATAAAAGGCAAAACTCTGCTTCTCTCTTTCAGACAGAGTAAAGGGCTCTGAAAGGCCTCATCTTCCATCACCTAGTGAATAAGCAGGAGCTTATTCCCTATGCCAATTTTTATTGTATTTAAACCCCATTATAACTATAATGATGGAAGGGAGAAAAGATGTGTGCTTCACTTGATCTCTATGATCTCTGATCTCCTTGAATTTACCAGGGCAATTTGAAGTTGACATTCATTGTATTTTTTTAAAGCATAGGATTCAGAACCCTTATGGTATAAGGCCCTATATTGTCTAGGGCAGTGATGGCTAACCTTTTTGCCATCGCGTGTCAAAAGCATGGGGAGCATGGGGGGGGGGGTTGTGTGCGCGTGTGCCCACACCCATAATTCAATGCCCCGGCACACCCCGCACCCCTGCGCATGCGCACGTGACACACACACACACACACACACACGCTACCCCCGCTTTTGGCACATGATGGCAAAAAGGTTAATGGTGGGCTCGGTAGGCCGGTTTTTCGCCCTCCCCAGACTCCAGAGGCTTCTTGGAGCCTGGGGAGGGTGTAAAACAGCCTTCCACACACCCCCAGAGGCCCTCCGGAGGCCGGAAATGGCCATTTCCTGACTTCCAGTGGGCCCGGAAGGCCCAAAAATCAGTTGGCCGGTGCGCACATGCGCAATGGAACTGAGCTAGGGCAACACTCATGTGCCCACAGATATGGCTCCACGTGCCACCTGTGGCACCCGTGCCATAGGTTCGCCATCACGGGTCTAGGGCATTGCTAGCATATTTGTTCAAAAGTATTTAAAACTATTTTTCACATCTTCTTATTTATATGGTAAGATTGGAGTACAGCAGGGTGTCAACCTGGATTTCTTTGAGGGCTGGATCAGCATTGTACTTTTCTGCAGGCCAGCTGGAGGGGAGGGGGAGGCGGGCCTTGAGTAATGGGGATTACAAATGCTTATGTACTGATTTCTTTCTTTGATGAGATCTTGAATTTGAACATAGTCAGGATTTCTTTGTATTCATTCAGAACTGACTCATATCAATTGACTCATGTCAATTCAATGACATGTTTTGCCCTAATTTTGTTCCAAACTAGATTTATCCATTGAATAACATATACAATATAAATCACACTGAAAAATAATGAAAATACCAAATCAACACAGCTTGATTGCCTGATTTGTCATCTTCGTAACAGGAAAAAGATAATTTTAGCTGATCTGTGGGAAACCTCAGGACTAAATACTTTTCTCCCACCATTTAACATCTACATAAGGCTGTTGAGTCTGGTCATCCATCAGTTTGGGGCAGTGGTGAAATGTAAAATTTGTTACTACTGGTTCTGTGGGCGTGGCTTGGTGGGGGGGGTAATGTGACTGGGTGGGCGTGGCCAACTTTAAAAAAAAAACTTTTAAAAGCATTTTTTCTATAACCTCTTCGGCCGAAGAGATTGTAAAAGAATGCTTTTAAAAGCCTCTGACGATCAGGCAACTCAGCTGGGATTGCCAGAGGCTTTTAAAAGCATTTTTTTCCCTACAACCTCTTTGGCCGAAGAGGTTGTAGAAAAAATGCTTTTAAAAGCCTCTGATGATCCCAGCTGAGCCGCACGATCAGCAGAGGCTGTTTTTTTTTACTTTTAAAAGCATTTTTTCAGCCGAAGAGGTTGTAAAAAAAATGCTTTGAAAAGTAAAAAAAAAAAACCCTCTGATGATCGCGCAGCTCAGCTGGGCATGGGTGGGGCACAGGGATTTTTGCTACCGGTTCTCCGAACCACCCGCCGCCATCGCTACCGGATCGGGCGATCCGGTCCAAACCGGGAGCATTTCACCCGATTTGGGTTCAGATATTCTCAGTATATCAACAATACACAACAGTAAATCTCAATTGTGGGCTGGCCAAATGATGCTGTTGAAGTCATATCCCAGTGTTTGATGGCTCTGAAGATTTGGATGAAGAGGAACAAGCTGGACCTTAAATGTAATCAGATTGAGTAGCTGCATATGTTTGGGCCCAGATATGAAATATCTTTCTTCTTCAGCTTTTAATGGGATTGCAGAATCCAGGATGAGTCTAGCATGCAATCTGCAGGTCCTTCTGAACTCACAGTTCTTCTTTGAACAGCAGGTCGCAGAAGGTGGCCAGGAGGAGGGCCTTTGCATAGATTCTCTTGCACATCAAGGGTGCCCTATCCTGGATTAAAAGGCCATTCTAATAATCATTCATGCCTTTATCACCTTGTGGTTGGAGTGTAATCTATATAGGGCTTTTCCTGAAAACCATTTGGAAGATACCGACAGTCCAAAATCCAGTGGCTCAAACAGTAATGTGCAAGCCATATTATATTTATGATGTCTATGCTTTGTGATTTGTACTGGTTGTCAATTGGATTATAGGTGCAATAAGGCTAGTTGTCACCTTTAAAGCTTTACATGGCATGGGGTAGATAATTATTTGAAGGAACATCTGTCTCCTAAGGTTTCTGCCACATTTTGACTTGTGTGGAATCCCATTGATTATACAATGCTATTTAGTAGGACTCAGAAAAGGCCTTCTATAACATCTGCCCTCTGAAATAGCATTGCCCCACAGAATTGCATGGTTCCTTCATAGATTTGCATGATTAGTACCAAAGGCATGGCTTTTAGCCAAATCTTGGACTAAACTTAATAGGGAGGGGATAACTTAAAAGGAAGGGAATGCTACTTTTCTGTTCAGTTGCAACTTTTAATAAGTATAAAAAAATTATAGCATAAGAAATAAATATTAGGCAGAAGCTTATCTAAAGTAGTATGCCAAACCACTTTGCCAGCTATTTATTCATTTGTTAAACTTTTAATAGGCACACAGAACAGCCACTCCAATGTTAAAGATATTAATAATATTGCATCTAATTAAGTTCTGAGTGTTGACCAAAATATACAATTGAAGAGGAAGCAAAGTAACAAGGTAACAGGTAAGGTAACAGTAACAGAGTTGGAAGGGACCTTGGAGGTCATCTAGTCCAACTCCCTGCTCACGCAGGAGACCTAAACTAGGGATTCGAACCGCCGAACTGCCACCCCTTCTGACTGACAAGCTCAGCGTCTTAGCCACTGAGCCAGCTAGCCAGCCTGTACTTCCTGTACAGCAAGATAGGTTGGTCTTCTCTGGTCAGGTTCCTGGCCATTAGGACTAAGTTAACCCTCCACTCTGGCTGTGGTCTAATTTGCTTTTTCAAATGAACTCAGTAGACTTCCTACCTCCTTGTTTCCAACTCGCTGCATGGCATCACCCAAATGAAAATAAAAGCGGCCATCATCAGTGCCAGGATCACCTGTTTCTAGACCTTCCTAGGGAAAAAAGAGAGAGAAACCACATCAATTACATGTTAAGTCATTTTAAATTCATTCCTAATGTTATCACTGTATTGAGATCTACAAGAAAATGTGCCAGCCAGCCAGCTATTCCCTGAAACACAAGATACTTCTTCCTCAAATGTTCATATGTGAAAATCATTACTGCCTATAACTCAAAATGTATTAACTTACTATTTTACCATAAGGAAGATTACTTCACAAAAACCATCACAAAAAGGGATATATGAATTAGCTTTTGAACAGGGTGGCTAGGAAGCTGGAAAAAACATTATATGATTACTGGAAGTCCCGAATCTGGAGATACATAGCACACACCAATGGCATTTAAGACATCTCTACTATTAAATATTTCACATCTGATCCTATACAATACATGACATCCCAATTGCCCTCCTTTTGGCAGCAACATCTTTTGTTTTCGCAAATAGAAAAAGATAAAAGTCGCAATGTAAATTTTACTTTCAGATAGGGAATGCTTTCTTCAATCTTGTTCTCTGCCTTCAGAATGAATCCATAATGCACTTTTGCAAACCCATCATTAGGAGACAGGCTTAGAACCTAAGGGAGAACAAAAGAAATAATAATCACGACTTTACCTCTGTAGCTTTCTAAAACATCAATGCATTTTTAGAAAATGTAAAAATGTATTTTTTTCTGTCAGTCCTTCTCTTTTCTCTCTCTGGTAGCATTATGGACTCTGGAGTGGAACTAGCAGCTGACAGACTGTATTCCCTACAGATTGTAGTCCCTACTCAGCCCCTGGGGAACTTTGGGCCAGTTGCTCTATTTCAGACCATGAGTATACTGGTTAAGATTCTGGACTAAGAGCAGGGAGGCCTAGGCTGTAGATGTTCACTGGGTGACCATTGGGCCTGTCACTCTTTCTCAGCCCAATCAATCTCAAAGGGCTCTAGCTGGATAAAAATAGGAAGGAAGACCACAATGTTTGCTACCTTGAGTTCTTATACAAAAAAAAAAAAAAAGAAAAAAAAAAGGCACCAAGCTGTAAATCCAATAAATAACTTTTAAAAAAGCAGAAAGTGATGTTGTCATCATGTGATACTTCTACTTCTCCAGTAGAAACAGAGAAATTCAAACTTGGCAGCAGATGTGAAATGTTACGAGAAAGAAGAGAAAAACTCAATATCAATGGATGATAGAGGTTTCGGTACCATTTTCTTTTTGCCTCTCAAATGGAATACAGTATCATAGAAATGAATTTTATTAAGATCCATGTTAAGAATTCTGAATGTTGGATTTGATATCTGTACAATGGATTTAATGGAGGATGGGGTTCCAAACAGTACAGAGAATACCACGTGTCTGTTTGATAGGGGAATTTTCCTTGTAACAAAGTCACCTGACTCCATTAGCCATTACATGCATGGTTCAGAGCACTAGCATAACCCGAATAAGCAAAAACATGTCTTCAGATTTCTTGTACTACAGAGGAAGCCCTTGAAAAAAGTAAAAACAAGATCAATTGCTGTTTGAAAACAAAAGCAGCTTTGATTTCTTACAAAGAGTATCTTTAATGCATTGTATTCAGTTCCAGACTATGACAGTCAAAAGAAAAATATATAATGGGGGGGAAAAGTGAAATTCTACCCCTTTTTTGACATTGCCTCCAAGCTGTGATACAATGGATGGTTTCATAAAACATTTCCCAGAAATAGGGCACATTTCCCATCAGATTGATTTCCAGTTAAAGACATATAATTCTTTGATTTAATTTTTACTACTTAGCCTCTTCACCGAAGAAGGAGTGAGATTTTTTTTAAACAGGTCTGAATAATTGAAGGGCTGAATAACACTGAAGTCAAGCTGTTAACATCTGGCTCTTTAACAGCTGACAGATTACAAGACTTGCTAGTTAAAGCTATTGAGAGCAATAGTTAACAGCATTTTAAGACGATAGAAAAGATTTCTGTAAGTTTGCAGCTGACCTACAATTTCTTATTCCAATTCATGGATGTGAAGGAGTATACCATGGTCAACACTATGGCATTCAGAGGTGCCATGGTGCCAGGGCTGCCATTATAATAAATAATAAAATTTCGTAAAATCTCATGAAAACGATGCAAGATTGCTTTTCTCAGATAGATAGAGAGACAGACTGACAGACTGAGAGACCAACAGACAGAGATGACTATGAGGAGTCCTTGGTGCTCTCTGAGCTAAGTTATTTCCTTCCAGATTTTTCATTACCCATATTAGGTAACATCATCAGTGTTTTGATGACGTTACCTCACAGGTGTCAAACTTGCAGCATCACGTTGCTGTCGCATGACATATCACAATGTTTTTCCCCTTCACGGAGCTGGGGTGGGCGTGGCCTGTGCATGATGCATCCGGCCTGTGGGCCGCCAGTTTGACACCCCTGTGTTACCTCGTTTGGGTAATGAAACATCTGCAAGAAAATAACCAAGCTCACAGAACATCAAGGACCCCTCATTTCAACCATGAGCTACAAATATTCTTTTATTGAGACATGATTATTTCAGAAGCACTAACGTCATTCTCAACTTGCTTAATTTATTTGTAGCAGTACTGTCACATAGCTGGGTTTGATTGACTAAAGAAAGCTATGATGTTGCCCTGAATATGTCATCCTTATCTAAATGGAAGAAAAGAGTAAAAGATATAAAAATTAAGGACCTAGAATTTGAGAAAAAGCATATAAACAGCGAAACCTGGCTTATAGACTTTTAAGGCTTATAGACATTGCCCATTAATGCCTTAGAGAATATCAAAATGATGTCTTTAGATTTGTGAAAAGAAATAGGCAATGCAATTAATCAATTACTTATATCTAGGGTTTTTATCCACCTACCCGGGTTATTTTAATGCATGGTTCTTATATATAAAGACTTGCATAATCGCATATATAGTATTTTTGGAATCATTTATCTGTACTTAATAGAAGCTCACCTCCTGGTAAACCTTCTTGGCATTGTTGTTGTCTCCAATTAAAAGATAACCCACTCCAAGGTTGTTCTTTAATGAAGTATCATTAGGAAACAGGTCAACCAGTTTCTGTAGTGTAACTAATGAACCTCTCATGCGACCTAATTTGATGGGAAAACAATAAAAAAACAACTTGGCTACACACACAAAGAAGCAACATGGAATACAGGAACTTTGCTAACAAAATAAATTAAGATTGTTAAACAATAAAACAGACTACGTGCTATTAAACATTGGAACATGTGTAAAACTTACACTTCTAAGGCATGCCTTAGAACTATGCTTGCATTGCCTAGTGTTATGGAGACCTCTAGTGCAAAATCAAAGCATTTTCACTATTCTCTTTTTGGGCAATAATACATGTTCCGAATTGTTGGCCTTTTTTCTCAACTGAATCAATTATAGATATAAATAAGCTGGCTTTAATCACAGTATTCACAATTATCACACTATTTAATGAAAGGTTGGCTGCTCCTATATCTTTGAAACTACATAGGCTACCTCAGAATAAAACTAGGAAACTTATTACCTTTAATAATTCAAATGTAAATTATACATGTAATATAATGCTCCTGGGAATGATTAGTTGAAATGCATTTTGTGACCAATGATTTATTTTTGCACAATAAAACTTCAGCTTTTAAGCCTGTACACTGCAATTTCAGCCACTGGAAACAGACAGGTGTATTTGCATTAGGCTTGTATTTGATTTACTTTAACAAAGAGATTTGCGCAAGCAGGTGACCTGATTCTCTTTGTAGATGTGAGAGGTAACATGAATCACTTTGACAAAACAGTTTATATTGCCTCCAATTGCTTTCAGCTGCAGGAGAAGGCTCATCTTAGCATTCTCTATATGCATTGGCCATTTATGTTCTGGACGGCTTCAGCACATGCTGTGAAGCACAGCCTTCCCAAAAGCACAATCGATCTATCTATATTTTATACACCACCCATCTTACCTACTTTAAGTGACTCTAGATGGTTTACAATAAACATTTAAGAGAGGTATTTTGAGAGTATTCAAATTAATTTAATAGGTTTCCATCTTGCCTGATGTTCATAAGCTTAGGAGCTTGGAAACTACACAAGAATATCAAATTCCTGGATATGAAAACAGAACATTTTTCAACATTCGGGCCACTGGTTTCAGAAACTTACCAAGAAACTGCTGCCTTTCTGCCCGCCGTTTCAGTGTCATCTTTACTAGCTCATCAGGGACATTTGGCAGATTGGCCACTTCACCATAGGTGGTGATAGATCGCTGTAGTATTTCATTGCTTCTCATTTTCTCAGCCAAGTCATCCTCACTCTGTATGTGATAATAAAGCATTAATTAGTACTGAAATTTCTATCAAATTTAAAGCACGGGTTAAATTAATCAATGGCTGTTAGATTATAACATTTATTTCCAAATCACCATTATGTGAGTTCTAAAGTTTGGATGTGTAAAAACTGAATATGGCAGATACATAATTCTTGAATGCAAAAGGAAGAATGAGACTTCAACTCTGTGACACTGTTATATCATCAAAAACTAAGAATTTATTTTGAGTGTTTGAAAGCCATGTCTATATCCAGATACGACAGTTGCTTCAAAACAATCAATACATTTTCAATGCATGTCTTTCTTTAGTTGCTTTTTTTCTGAGATGCCTGTAAAGTGACTTTGAACTTAAGATGATCTTTTCTTCCCTTCCTTGCAGCAAAAGGGACATAAGGCTGAAAAAATCTAAAATATCTGCTACTATATTCTAAATGCATCTAAAATGACTATCTTGTTTTAATACTAGGTAACTTCATAATTAATTCTGTAAGTTTGAATAGTATCATGTCTGCATTTTAGTGATAGTAAGCTAGTGCTACTAAGTTTTAAGTATTTAAATATATTCTTTTGTGGGTTTTTAGACTGATGTCCTTAAAGAAGTTACACAGTACAGGTAGTTTTCGACTTATGACCACAGTTGGAATCGGAACCTCTGTTGTTAGGCGATACATGTGTTAGATGAGATACAATTGATTTTATGACCTTTTTTGTTGGAGTCGTTATGCAAATTAGTCATTAAGCAAATCCAGCTTCTCCCATTGAGTTTGCTTGTCAGAACCCCCCTAGGAAGGTCACAAATGGTGATCATATGACTCCGGGACTCTACAACCATTATAAATGGTTGTATAAATGGCATATAAATCTAAACAAACAAACAAACAAACAAACAAATAAATAAATATATGACAGTTGCTAAATGCCCAAATCACGATTATGTGACTGCAGGAATATTGCAACAGTTGTTAAGTGTGAAGACTGATTGTAAGGCACTTTTCTCTGTGCCTTCATAACTTTGAACAGTCATTAAACAAATGGTCATAAATTGAGGACTACCTGTACATTTTCGCCAGATAATTTCAGATTGCAGGGTTAGGGAATGTACTCTCATTTTAGGATTACATCACCTGAGAAGGGTAGGAGAGTGAATACCATGTCTTAATCCTTTGTAATGTGAGAAGCTCAAAGGCGTTCAGAAGAGGAAAGGCATGAGCTAGCTAGCCTCTTCTACTTACGTAAGGAAGTGTTACATTATATCACCTGTTCCCTTCTTTCAGGGAAAGCCTGAAAGCTGATGAAGTGGATCAAAGTGGTACTGCTTTTAAAAATTATGCAGTTAACCATTCAATTTTTACAGGTCAGGGGGAAAACCCTAGCCCAGTCTAGGGTTATGTAAGGAATTATTCTCCCTCCCCAAAACACCTATGTAACTTGAGCCTTTGATAGTTGCAATTTATACCCAACTCCTTGCCACTTAAGTTATCTGAACCATCCAAATGTATCTCTCTTTAGAAAATCAGGGATGCCTGGACACCATAGGAAAAAAAACACTGACTTGAAAACTAATGCAGCAATAGAGAGAAACGGAAGGAGTAGAGAGATCGAAGGAAGGGAGAAGGAGAGAGAGAGGAACAGAAGAAAGGGAAGACGAGAGAAAGAAAGGAAGAGGAAATAAGAGTAGGAGAGAAGGTTAGACGGGGGAAGAAAGGAGAAGAGGGAGAAAGGAAGGGGAAGTAGAGAAGGAGTAGGAGAGGAGGAAAGAAGAAGGTAGGAAGGATAAAATAAGGGAGGGAGAGGAGGAGAAAGAGAAGAAAGATTGCTGTAAAACAAAAAAGATGAAATGGAAGAAAGGCATCCCCGAACATGTTTAAATATGTTAGGATAAAGAATGAATTATTAAAAATTAAAAGAGAATATATCTGATTAAAAATGGAGAAAATAGAATGTGAGGGCGAAAGAAGATACTGTTTATGGAAACGAGAATAGAAATATTAAGATTTGATTAAAAAATATGGAAAAAGAACACTGGCAGAAATTGTAACTAAGTTAAATATATTCGGATATGACAAGTTGTATAGGATATGATATGATATGGTCAATACTCTGTTTCATAAAATATGTGAGTGTGCGTTGGGGGTGGAAACTAATAAAACTTGATTCAAATGTATCTTTCTTTCTCCGATTTTTGGGGCTGACTTAAATGGGTATTTGGGACTTAGTTCCATTCACTCAATGCAATATAAGCAGATAAAAGATATAATACTGAACTCAAATTAGTACCTTGTCTGTGTTTAGCCAATATTATTAGGATAAATTTAAATGATCATTCCAATGCCATGAAAGAAGCATCTTAATTTCAATTACTTAGATCCAAAAATCTAAATTTTGTAATCACTTGTCCCTAACTGCAACATCATTGGATATGGCTAGCTATCAAATACTCCCTCACACATAAACAGGACTATTCAGCTTCAAATGTTTTTAAAACTTCTTTTGTTTGGTGGCGCAGTGGTTAGAATGCAGTTTTTCAGGCTAATTCTGCTGACTGCAAGCAGTTCGATTCTCACCGGCTCAGGTTGACTCAGCCTTCCATCCTTCCAAGGTCGGTAAACTGAGGACCCAGTCCTACTGTGCTGAGAATCACTTGTCCATTAACTACGACAAATCAAAAGTCTTGGTGTTCTCTAGTGCCCGGAAGTTACACAACTGGGCTATTAAGGGTAATGCTGTTAAGCAGGTTTCCCATTTTAAGTATTTAGGTATACATTTTCAGAACACTGGTGCTTGGACTAGACACCAAACCCAGGTGCTGAATTCAGCTTTTTGTAGCCATCAGCAGATTTTAAGATTTTTCTATACCCAAGGTGGCCAATTTATTCCTTCTGCTCTGCGTATTTACAAAGCCAAAACCTTGGCCCAAACTCTTTATGGAATTCCGATATGGATACAGGGCTTCAAGGAGTGTATTGAAAGAACGCAGGCTGCTTTTTTAAGGAAACTTTTGGGTCTCCCTCCCTGTGTTGGCTTTGCTCCGATGTATCTGGAACTGGGCATTCGATCAGTCGAATGCATGGCGTGGATCAACACCTTTAAATGGTGGTTTCGGGCACTCTTTTTGGCAGCCCCTGGCAGCTACCTCTCCCTGGTGTTAGCTGACCCCTATACGCCTCGATGGGAGAGGGATCTGACGAAGAAACTCCACCTGTTAGGTTTTTCGGGGGATGCCATGGGAGACTATGGCCTTAAAGATGCCCAATGTAGGGTAGTCCAACGGCTTGTGGACATAGACTTACAATATCTGAGAGCTAGAGCCAATAAAACCTGCTCCCCTCTGGTCTTCAGCCAACTTAATAATTTTGGACTGAGGATGGCCTCATATTTCTATACTCTAACCATCCCTAAGTATAGAAGAGTCTTCTCCCTTGCTCGTTTTAACGTCTTGCCTTCAGCATTGCTGGACGGTCGATTCAAGAGGCTTCCGAGGGGCGAGCGGCTATGTCCCTGTGGTAGAGCGGAGGTTGAGACTGTGGAGCATGTCCTTTTACACTGCCCCATGTACAACATAGCCAGGACTAATTTGATGTCTCTCTTAGAGACAGATTTCTGTGGGCCCAATGATAGTGATTTGGCCTTGTATTGTCTAGGGGATGGCTCCTCATACACTACCTCTCAGGTCTCAAAATTTTTTCTAAGAGCCGTAACCATTAGAGGAGAGCGCTGTGGTCCCTCTCAGCCGGGGCTTCCGGTGGCCAGCTGTTCGTGATGTTCTTTTCCCTATGTTTTTCTGTAGCTATGCTTGCATTTTGGTCTGTGACCGTAAATAAATTTATTATAACTGAGGACCCAGATTGTTGGAGGCAATATGCTGACTCTGTAAACCGCTTAGAAAGGGCTATAAAAGCAGTGTGAAGCAGTATATAAGTCTAAGTTCTATTGCTATTGCTATTCTCATTCACAAAATAATGAAATGGCAATTCTATGCTATAAAAAATCCCTAAGGGGACTCCCTTAGAAATCCAGAGGTTTGTAACATGCAGAATCAGGGCTACCTGTGCCCACCAATCCTGAAAATTTGGGCTTGCTTCCAAATCCATACAAAAGTTAGTAGCAAATTGGAATTTTCAATATGACAAAATGAAAAACAAATAAAATTGAGAAAAATCATTCACTCCTTATTAAGTTTCTCCCTCCCTCCCAACCCCAATTTTATCGGAATGCTTATTTTCAAAGTCAGTTTTTGGCCTCAAAAAAGCTGATCATTCCCACCAGGGTCCTTTTCATGCCATGCTACAATTTGGCTATTAAATTTCATAATTCACTATGCTCTGTACTTCTTTTTTTGCCAATTCTGAACCATATACTTTACTGATTACTGTACTTATTAAAAGAGAGAAATAAAGGAAGATACTCTCAGTTCAGAGGAATTTATCAAAGTCCAATTAACTTAGTTACAACAAAATAATGTACCCTTAGTCTATCACATTAACCTATGAGATAATATTATATTTTCCCCTATATACAGTGATAGCTTGGCATGCAATTGCTTTGAAACTCATCAAATTAAGAACCCAGTGCATTTTGATATGAAAATTTTGTCCTGGTATTATTTGTTTGGTATTCAATGCACAAGCTAGAACTTGTCAGTGTCAGCTGCCTTGTGACTCACTACATTCTTCCTTATGGGAAAAATTTGTTTGGTACTTATCATTTTTGGGACTCATCATACCTCCTGGAACCAATTAATAATGAGTATCAAGGTACCACTATATTTTAAAGAATAAAATAAGTGATAGATTATGAAATCAGAAGCTGTTTTCTAAAGCAAATCTTTATTTTCTAATATAAATACTTTATTTAATTTACTTCATTTGCAATCAGTAAAAAATCATGGCTACATAATGAGATATACCATAGTTCGATTTTCCATGCACAACTTTTTGCTTTCTTGTTTAATTTTTACCTGGGCTTTTCCATATCTTGCTCGAGGACTTTGGGGATACTTGCTTACCAAAGCTTCAAATGCCTTTAAAGCTTCTTCTGTTTTCCCCTGAAAGTCAGATAGAGATATGCTATAAATAAAGAAGAGGAAATCCTTACAATTATTATTTAAGTAAGACTGCACCCCAGATATGTTGGATGCTGACTCCCACAAGGCCCAAACGAGGAAATATAAATATTGAAACCCAACAGATATAGATGAAAAAAAGTTGGGGACAGCAGAACCTAATGTCAGGGAAGCATGGTGCAATATTTTGTATTTAAGATATAATATACAATTTTAAGAACAGATACAATGACTTTTTGCAAATCCATTATTAAAATATCATTAAAAGAAATACAAATAATGATATAAATTCAGGGAAGAAAACAAAAGTCTGTTGTTCCTGGGTTTAAAATGAATGTCCTAGGAAAATTAAAAAGGCCTTGATAGATATTTAAAATATAATTATTTAAGAGGGGATTAACTTGAATAATTTCTGATCACTATGTTAAGAAATTAACACGAGCCGTTTATCATTAAAAAATCCTCTTTATCTGAAAGAGATTATGACAAATGGCTGGTGCTAATTTCTATAGTTGCAAGAATATCATTCCAAAGACAAGATTGGTTGTATATCAATTACTGGCATATTGATGTTGATGAATGTTCAGAGATATTAAAACATTTCTGCTAATGCCTATTCACACACTCTTTTTTCCCCCAGAGAAAGTTTACTAGTAATTAATTTAGCAATGTGGCATGATACATGGACCGACAGACACATACACACATACACACATATTAACTTGCAGTTTTAATTTTTCAAACTAAATTTTACCTTTTTGCGTTGCTTTTCTGCAGCATCGAGTTCAACTTTAATACTTTTATCAAATTTATTGAGCAATTTTGGTTTTTTCTTCTTTACTATGAAAAAGAATAAAAAACCCACAAAATTTCCACCAAATTCAGTAATATTGGAGACTTATAACTTTAGAGCAACTCAGGAATTCTGGTATAATAAATCAATTTTCCATTGGAAGGAAAAATACATTTTACATCCATAATAATTTGAAAACTAAAAATTGTATCTTGGTATTAGCTTCTGTTTCCCATTCTCTCTCTGCCTTCTCCTTCCTTGCCTCAGACCTGCCTCACACTTGTATCTCCAAAGATCTCTCTCCTGCCTTTCTGCCAATCCCATTATCCTCTCTGGTTTTTACCATTCGAAATGTGGTAAGTAGCAGAGCTATAGCTTTTATTATTTAGAGGTTTCAGCATACACATAGAGGATCAACATGAACATAAAATATAAATAAGTAAAAAAGTCTCCCCCTCCAAGTAGTGGGTGGAATAAAGACAAAAAATAAATTTGATGTGATAAAATATAAATTATTGAATTTAATATGGTCATTTTCTGTGTACAGTATCTTTTTCTGCCCTTTGGGATAAAACTGGTCATGAAATTTCAGGTTATGTGTCTCCAATATTAACACACTTCTGTATGGAGAAAATTAATCTAGAATGAACAAAAACACTCAAGGACCTTACCATTATAGAATTCAAGACAACTATGGCAGATAAGACGAATTGTAGATATTTTTAACCAGAACTCCAAAACCACCAACTGTTAAACCAATTTGTGAACTTGTTTACAGCGACTGTAAGCTATTTCCCATATATATTTCTCATGTCAGAACTGTAATATTGTATTTGTAGGAGTTATCTATTTATGTAGCAGTGTTACTAGTCCTTCATTATTAATATTTAAACACATCTATATCTCAGTGGCTAAAACTCTGAGCTTGTCGATCAGAAGGTTGGCAGTTCAGTGGTTCGAAACCCTTGCGCCGCGTAACTGAGTAAGCTCGTTATTTGTCCCAGCTTCTGCCAACCTAGCAGTTTGAAAGCATGTAAAAAATGCAAGTAGAAAAACAGGGACCACTTTGGTGGGAAGCTAACAGCGCTCCATGTGCCCTTGGTGTTTAGTCATGCCGGCCACATGACCATGGAGATGTCTTCGGACAGCGCTGGCTCTTCGACTTAGAAACGAAGATGAGCATCACCCCTACAGCCAGAAATGACAAGCACACATGTGCAGGGGAACCTTTACCTTTACACTTCAGTATTTTGAATATTACAGCATTTTAGCTCAATATGATTGATTGCATAGACAAATGCATGAAAACAATAATTTGCTGTCATTTTTAAAGATTTGGGAGGTCTATTTTCATACATTGTTTCCAAGAACACCCATATGCTTCAGGACATTGAGTTCACATTCTACCATATGCTATCCTGTTTTTGGACAAGGAAAAAATGACAGATGTCTACATTGGCCAGTATTGTATAATATTCTGGTGCATTCTGAAGAAGATTCAGAAGAAATGGTTGGATCTGGTACAAACAAAATGTCTCCATGGTCCATTAAAGCAACCTGTCTTGTGTATGACTGCAAAAAAAAAAAAAAAAGTGTATCCACTTTCAGGAATCCATTCATAAAGATTAATTTCTTTTCTTTTTTTTGCAAATTCATGTAGAAATCGAAAAAAAAGTTGGGCTGTTTCAATCAAGAGCAAGGTGGGGCATTTCATGCTTGCACAATTCAGTTGTTCTTTTGAGTCATTTTAAACAATGCATATTTTATGGTGTAACTTTTAGAATACATATCAAAATCAATAAACTGCTATCAATCTTAAAATAGCAACCTCTACAGAACATTTCTTATTTCACTGGAAGTCGTAGCAGCCTTTTTTCTTGCTATATTTCTGTTTAAATACCATGTTATAATAATAAATTAAAAGGTAGCAATACTGCCAGCTAAAGCAAAACTCTTCCATCTCTTGTCCATTTTATTTTAAATTGAAAATGTAACTGACTCAACCATTCAGCATATTAGTAAGAAAACTGGAGATCTTCAAAAATATATATTTAATGATAGGTCACTTCAGAAATTTGAAGGTTTGTTTCTGTCTTTTAGCATGAGAACAGCATGCTTCCAAATTGCAAATGCCAGAGAGCAATGGCTTGTGATGCACAGTAGGCATCTGGTTGCCCAAGCTTTTAAATTATTAAGTTCTTTTGAGAGGTTTTTTTTGGGGGGGGGGGAAGAAACATAAAAAAGTATTTATTTCTTAAACCTTAAATAAACAAAAAAGATTGGAAATCAAGAAGTCTAAACGATATATTAGGGACAAGTCTTAGGATTTGCCTGAGTGCCATTTCCAATGGAGAACATGAGATCTGTAACTATGCAAACCATATAGATAAAACATTTTCCTCCCAAATCCTAGAATGGTATCCGAAGTATTTTTTAAAGATATGATTATTACTTTCTCAGGTTGACCCTGTCTCACTGTAGGTGTCAAAGTCCCCACCCCACCCCAAAAAATCCCCCAGAAAAAAAATAGACTATTTCAAATATATCCTTACCAATGCAGGAATTTTAGATTTTTGAACTGTCCGTATTTTCAATTGCTTACCTTTTTCTTTTTGCAGAGTTTCTTTTTCACCATGTCCTGGAATAGGTAAAGAGATTTCTTATCATCCTGATCCTTTTTAAAAGCAAGTTCAAATGTATATTCATTGAATTATTAAAATGCTGTCTTCAAATAAATACCATGTAACCATAATGTGCCCTGAGTAAAATATCCATGTGTTGTTAATTAAGGATGTGCAAAGTTTAAATGGGTTGCTTTGCTTTTATGATACTTTGAGCAAAGCATTCCTTTGAAATGCTTCCAAAAGCAGTGTGCTTTCCTCAGCTTCTAATATCAAGCTGGCTGCACTGATTTGCTTCACCTCACTTCTGAGGCATCCCCTGGTCACCCCAATAAGTAGAAAAAGCTTTTGCCCATGTTAAAGCATACTACTGAATATTACTGATGGCTATATGAACTGATGGCTGAGGCTCTGAGATGACACAAAGTACCACTACCATCATCAGCTCAACAAGAATCACAACACATCTGAAATCAAAGTTTGAAATAGTTTCCCTTTTCAGATGGAATCCCAGTCTTGATCAGTTTCCTATATAAAAATACATTTGCCATTCAAATATACAGTTTGGACAGTTGATGCTAATGAAATTTATAAAACAAATTAGTTTGTTTAAATTATCTGAATATATCTGAATTTTTTTTTGATATTTCAACATATATGCAGATTTTTCTTAATCAACCCAAAATCTAAATCAAATCAGTTTGATAATCATATCAAGTCAAATCAAATTTCTTTTTTTTTTTGTGTTGAATCAGATCAATTTTACAAATTACCGTAACTGTTAATCTGAATTGGATTTTGTATGGTTTGCTTAGATTTGCTTTATATATCTTCAATACTATTAGTTCTACAGAGATTGTTATACCACTGTTAGGAAGGCACCATTTGTTATCCAGAACATACAGTATGTCACAGAGAGAGTATACCCCCTCACATTTCACATTCACATTTGTGAAATAAATTCAGCAATGGTTAGCTAGGGTTAGTTCTACAGCACACGCAAGGAATTCTGTGCAGTAACCTTAAAGACTGTTCGTGTAATCTATCTTTATGTCACAAGTCTCTGCAATGTCGATTGCAAATGGTCCTAATATGTTAAATAACAGTTTCAGTTATATCCTTAGTATAATACAACTCATAACATATTCTGGAAGTAATAGTTATGGCCATATTTTCTTTGTATTTCCCTGAATTGTTTCTAGCTCTGCCTTCCTTCTTCCTCCTGAATGGTCTTTTTCTAGCCTTTATAATGATTTAATGACCGATCACTAAAGTGTACGTCAGTATTTTTTAAAAAAATAATGACTCGATTCGTCAAACGTTCTTCTGTATTTTATTGCAGCAAATGTTAACACAGAAGGTATATATTTTAATAGTCCCCTTCACCTTGTCTCCATGGCACACTTATGTAAACAAGAAAAACATTGTAGCATAACAGAAAATTTGATCACAGCACAATCATCTTATCCCAACATTTCAAAAATAGAGTCGTTGTACAAAAATTCAATTTATTTTACCCAAAATAATCTTAATTATCCTTAAAATTATGGCTTTATAAAATGTATTGCTGTCATTTAGAAATGTACAATTTTAATTCCATGAAGAATAATACTTTGCCTCGATCTGTATGAACAGATTGTTTCCTAAGTATTATAAATATATATGGCATAGTCCTTCTAGCACAGTGTTCTCATTTGCTACAGCCCCTGTGTAGACACAATGAATAGGGAGAGACCAAGGCAGTTACAGCTGGTGGGAACTCTTTCATGCATAGATGGAGAGACTGAGAAGAAGAGAACAAGTCCACAAAAATACCTGATAAAGCACTACATACACACTCAAACTATGTAGTCCTTACTATCTTAGATTTCAACATAATAAAAATGCACTGCATTTATCTCTATTTTTTCCCCCAAAAAAATCAAGTTACAATCAATCACCTCCTAAAATATACAAGCCACATATTCTATTGCTATTCTAGTAAACCCTCAAGGATTCAAATAGTATTTATTTCCTATCAAAATCTAAAATTGAAATGTAACTGCTTTTTATTTTTTTCTGAAAGAATATATTTTACTTATGCAGCAGGCTGAGAACAATTCTCTTATGGACTGCCTCAGTTAATATTGATCTTTTGTAAGCAGAGTAAATATTTATTAAGAAATATATGTAACGAACAGTTTTTGATAAAGTAGGTACAAGCAGTAATGATTAAACTGTAAGCCTAAAATCATTTACTTTTCAATCTTATTTACAGCAGAAGTTCTATTATTATAAGAAGTTACAAAGACATCACTTATGTAATATCAATTTAATTGCCTGGCAGTTTATGTGAAACTGTAGCAGAGATAATAATGAAGCCAAAAGGAAAAGGAAAATCCTTGTGTTTTAATATTAAAGTTTCATTAGAAGAATCAGTCCATCAAAACATTAAAAAGTAAAAAATATATTTAGTGATCCTCTTGGAATAGCCCATGGTTAAATTATTTGCTTTATCTGGGCTAAAATCAGATAAATAATGGCACACAAAATTAGTATGTAGAAGTCCAAGTCCAAGTTATTTCACAGTCCTATTTCACTAGTTTTTTGCCATAAGGCATGTAAATATACCAAAATATTTTGTTCACATTTTAAAACTTAGTAAAATCAAATTACATCCATAATTTACTGTTACACTATAAATAGCACATTTACAATTATGTGAACACCACATATTAAGATTCAGATATAACTGTTTGTCCACTAATAAGGGGAGAAGTAAAAAAAAACCCATGTTGTACTAAATGCTACAAAAATATTAAAAATGAATATTAGTACTCTAAATATATGCTAAAGTTAATTGGCATACTAAAAGGTCAACTATGTGCTATGTTATCCTTCACTGTTTTAGGAATTTTCAGAAGTATCTTTTGCATTTCTTGGATCATTTTAAGAAAGGAATTTGCCATGCATATTAAGTACTTTTAAAAAGGTTTCACATTTTTATGTTATATTAGTAGTTATGGGGAATGAATTAAAAATGGAATTTCTAAATGGAATGGTCTTGTAAATTAATTTTATGAAACACTTTTTAGTGTCTCCCACCCACCACTAATTTTCTGAGCTCCATTAATTATGTCATAGAAAAATTTAACAAACATCTGCTGCCACTGTGTAGAATATGGTTTAGGCTGGTCCTCCTGATGTAGGGAGTCTTTTTGAAGCGTTAAGTATCTGAAAAAATAAGGGGAGATCTAAATTAGAGGACCAACCATAAAACAGGTGATTTAGAAATAATCTTTAATATAAATATGCAACTTTGTAATATAGTTAATTTAGCTATGTGTTATTAGAAATACTGTTTAATTAAGCACAAAGTTGCTACCTAGGGTAAAAGGTAGGCAATAACAGAATTAAAGGACACTCTCTTGGAACTAAAATGATCACAGAAACCCAACAATCTCTTACCCCACCTCGCTTTGATACATCTATTAAATATACATTAAAAAAACACCCATTATGATGAGAGAAAGCACATGTGGAAGGAAAATTGTCCAACATACATTCATATTTATGAAAGCTGGAGTACCCGAAGGATGAACAATTTTTTTTTATATCAAGATGTTTTTCAAAATCCTCATCTTCGTGCTTAGAAAATAAATGGCAATTATTTGCATATACATACATACATACGTACGTACATACATACATACATACATATATATATATTTGTCTTCTTAAGTTTTCGCGGGTGTGCATATGCAAAAAATTAAAATCTCGGGTGTTTTCCCGCGTCATTATAAATAAGTTGGTTAAAATATTTAAAATCCTAGTTAAAATCCCAGCTTAAAATCTTCTAAAATTCCTGTTTTAAAGGACCTTGCAGAGTGCTCTGTAGGGAATTTTAGAAGATTTTAAGCTGGGATTTTAACTAGGATTTTAAATATTTTAACCAACTTATTTATAATGACGCGGGAAAACACCCGAGATTTTAATTTTTGCATATGCACACCCGCGAAAACTTAAGAAGACAAATATCATACCTCTACGGGGAGGAAATGTACCATCTCACTAGGATCTATGAAAAGTTTGAAGTAAGGAGGGCTGTAATATTATGTGATCTAAGTTTCTTACGTCGCTGCCAAGACCGAAGAGTTATACCAACATGCTTTAGAGTTAAATTCCATCCTATGTCTGCTCCCATCAAACGTATTTTACGAAGAACAGCAATGGCATTATTGAGAAATGAACTCCATAACAAAAGGTTCTTATTAGATCAAACAAATAAGGATTTATTAACTTTGCATTTGAAAATAAGTAACACAGTTCACCCAATTCTGTGGGACAAAATAAAACTACTGGCCATTTGGAGAGCTGAAACTGAGACCTTTTACAAAAACAATAGACACCAAAAGAAATGTGAGTACTTAGAAAATCAAGGGAGACCCCCTAGAGTAGTACAGCACCATCTAAAACAGGTAGTTTATAACATCTCCAACAGAGAGCTGACTACAGCAGAAACAAGCGTTTTGGCAAAAGGCTTTAATTTTGCAGTAGCGCCCAGGAGAATTCCTGTAGAAACAGTGATATGTGAGGTGGAAGCTATCTTAACAAAACTCAACACGGAGGATGCTGATAGAATTAGGCATGAAGTTACTAACATTATTTGCACTAGCAAACCCCCTAAGAGTAACCTGCCCAGGGAAGAATACAGAGCATTGCAGGAACTAAGAAAGGATGATAGTATAACTATACTGCCCGCAGACAAAGGCAATGCCACGGTGATAATGAATACGGTAGATTATGACAAAAAGTTACTCGAGCTCCTCCAAGACGCTACGTACAAACCTCTAAGCACTGACCCAACCACATATTTAGAAAAAAACTACCAAAGCCAAGATAAAGGCCAGTCCCATAGATAAAGAAGTTCAACGAACAATCATTCCCAGAGAGAAGTCATCGAAATGTCCAAAACTATATGGCCTCCCAAAAATACATAAAGAGGGCATACCCCTCAGACCTATAGTCAGCTCTATAG